TAAAGTTAAAACAATTAAATAAAAATGAGGACATGTTTGAAAAAAACACATAATAGCAATAAACATTATTTGTTTACGACTCCAAGATACAAATTCCAACAATATGACGTGAAGCTGACTCAAAATAACAATTGATAAGCAGGTGTAATCGTGTATTAATTTTATGCCACGTTGTGGTAATGCAATTTTGTTTTTTTATTTATTATTTATTTATAGTATGTACATATTTACAGGTACACAAGATCAGATATAAATCTGTTAACCCCCAGCCCCCCCCCCCCAAAAAAAATTGTAACATGCAGAGACCAGTACAGATGACACGCCACACCATTCCTTGTGTTGTGGTATTGGTACGTATTATTTCATATATGCAAGTTACAAGGCAAAAAAAACCTAAATAAATAAACAAAGTTAAAACAATTAAATAAAATAGAGAACATGTTTGAAAAACACACATGATAACGATAAACATTATTTGTTTACGACTCCAAGATACAAATTCCAACAAAATGACGTGAAGCTGACTCAAAATAACAATTGATAAGCAGGTGTAATCGTGTATTAATTTTATGCCACGTTGTGGTAATGCAATTTTTTTATTTTTTATTTATAATTTATTTATAGTATCCATATTTATACAGGTACACAGATATCAGTTATAAATCTGTTAACTCCCAACCCCCCCCCCCAAAAAAAAAAAAAAATTGTAACATGCAGAAACCAGTACAGATGACACGCCACACCATTCCTTGTGTTGTGGTATTGGTACGTATTATTGGGGTCCAGACAACTCGCCACAAAGACAACCCGCCCCAAGACAACTCGCCACAATACCCTGGACATCCCGCCACAATACCCTGGACAACCCGCCACAATACCCTGGACAACTCGCCACAGCCTTTTCGGACAACTCGCCACACTTTTTCCCATCATGATTTCTAGATCTAAAATGAAATGAAATTGTCATTTTTCATGATTTTCGTGCTTTTATAAACACGGTCATTACAAAGAATAAAGAATAAAGTTGATTTCCCTAATTGTAACAATAATATATATCGAAATGAAATTGTCATTTTTCATGATTTTCATGCTTTTATAAACAGTCATTAAAAAGAATAAAGTTGATTTCCCTTGTAACAATAATATACTTTTGATCTAGAGGTCTATAACAGCTGCATTTTTCTGTCCCAGAATTTTTTTATGGTAGGATACTGGAAGCACTGGCGTACTGATGGGGGGGGGGGGGGGGGGGGGGGTAATATTAGAATGTAAAGATACACCAAAGATACATAGCAGCATATTCCTACCATTAAAAAGTTTCCTGAGACATGAACTTAAAAATCGTAGTCGTAACTCGTAGTCGTAGTACGCCTGGCTTGGGTTCGTCCAAAATAGATTCTTGTTGCAAGCGCAAGGAAAATCATCTTTATTCTTTAGAACAGCTCTCAAAATACTCACAATTTCCATGTTTCCTGTCATAAGTGTGTTTATAAAAGCACGAAAATCATGAAAAATGACAATTTCATCTAAGATGAGGGATTTTAGATCTAGAAATCATGAGGGGAAAAAAGTGTGGCGAGTTGTCCGAAAAGGTTGTGGCGAGTTGTCCTGGGTATTGTGGCGGGTTGTCCAGGGTATTGTGGCGGGATGTCCAGGGTATTGTGGCGGGTTGTCTTGGGCGGGTTGTCTTTGTGGCGAGTTGTACGATATTCAGAATTCGTATTATTTCATATATGCAAGTTACAAGGCAAAAAAAACCTAAATAAATAAACAAAGTTAGAACAATTCGTCGCTGTTTTCACGAAGTGACGGTAGTGAAAAAAAATTGCATTCACTTTGCGTTACGATTTTCCTCACTACCGTCACTTCGTGAAAACAAGGACGAATTAAATAAAAATGAGGACATGTTTGAAAAAAAGATAAAAAAGGGCACTTATTCAAGATTATTTCAAGATTTATGAGAATGGAAAATGGACACTTATTGCAAAGGAAAATGGGAACATGCCGAAGGAAAAGGGGCACGTGTCAAAAATAAAAAAAGGGCACTCGTCAGAGGTGGGAAGGGGCACTTTTACTAAGTAATGGGGGCACTTGTCAAAGGAAAAGGGGCACGTCTTACAAAATTAAAGGGGCACTTTTTCTATGTAAAAAGGGGCACTTTTGGGTTATCTGAAAAAGTGGGGGGGCACTGTGCCCCCCCCCCCCCAGGAGGGCCGCCTCTGCCCCTGCCCCTCCATGCACCGGCACGTCATTGCAATATCATGTCTTAATTGCTTTGCTTTGTATATATCTCTTTGATTCCCAGAAAAAGGGAACAAAAAGGAGATTTTTTGGTTTGTTTGGGGGGGGGGGGGGGGTTGGTGGGGGCTGCATTATTTATACAAAAAACTTGAAGCCAATACCTTCTTTTCGTAGAATTTTTTTGAAGCAGCCCCCTCCAAAAAAATAAGGCGATTCTTCAGCTCACTGAAGAATCTGCTTAGAGTACTAGGCTAGGCCCTTACGTTAGATCTAGCTATCAAGTCTCTAACTTTTAGGAGTAAAATATGATTATCTGATTATGAAAAAAGAAACATTCCATTCCTTCAAGGCTTCATTAATAGGATATTCTACTGACTGTGAATGACTAATCTAGAATATGATAATGATGTAGCTATAGATCTAGATCTAGTCTAGTTTACTCACTAAATCAAATTGAATATTCTACTCGGAATGAATAATGATAATACAGTAGATATAGATCTAGTTTGATTAGTTATACTCACATCACTCGATCAAATTCGGCAGTACAATCATCCAATGCAGTGGAGCGGCCCGGTACGAGTCAGTGAATTCCCCCGCCGACCCGGCCGGCGGCGCTGTACGGCTAGCTGCACACTGAGCTGAGCTGCTGCGGTAGCACTAGGCAGTAGTCTGCTAATTTACGGCCTGGACGAAAGAATGTGAACAAACATCAACCATCTCGTCTAAAATGTACTATATTCGACTTCTCAATAATGAAATCTGTGTCAGGAATAAAAATAGACCTTCATACGAGATAGAAGTGATATTTTTGCAGTGATTTACCGACAAAAACACTGCTCGAATTTCAGTGGTCCGAGTAGATACACGCACATTTAATGTACGTGCGGCAATGCGGATTGCGAGCTGTGAGTAAATTGTCCGAAATGTCATTTTTTTTGTCATTTTAACTAAAGATAAGTCATAGATTGTCTTCATTAGTATCATTTAACACAATTCCATTAAAGATTTAGGTTGGAAAGGGCATTATTAAGTCACAAAGAGCACAAACATATACACATTGGTATCTCTCGATCGATTAATCAGGTCGGGACATCTCGGCCCAGTTTTTCGAGCTGGGCCGAGTAGTCCCGTGGGCCGAGTTAGCCCGGATTCTTCTAATACAAGTGTCTAGACTCTATGCATGCTAGGAAGGGGTCCAGACAACTCGCCACAAAGACAACCCGCCCCAAGACAACCCGTCACAATACCCTGGACATCCCGCCACAATACCCTGGACAACCCGCCACAATACCCTGGACAACTCGCCACAGCCTTTTCGGACAACTCGCCACACTTTTTCCCATCATGATTTCTAGATCTAAAATGAAATGAAATTGTCATTTTTCATGATTTTCGTGCTTTTATAAACACAGTCATTACAAAGAATAAAGAATAAAGTTGATTTCCCTAATTGTAACAATAATATATATTTAAATGAAATTGTCATTTTTCATGATTTTCGTGCTTTTATAAACAGTCATTAAAAAGAATAAAGTTGATTTCCCTTGTAACAATAATATACTTTTGATCTAGAGGTCTATAACAGCTGCATTTTTCTGTCCCAGAATTTTTTTATGGTAGGATACTGGAAGCACTGGCGTACTGATGGGGGGGGGGGGGGGGGGCAGGTAATATTAGAATGTAAAGATACGCCAAAGATACATAGCAGCATATTCCTACCATCAAAAAGTTTCCTGAGACATGAACTTAAAAATCGTAGTCGTAACTCGTAGTCGTAGTACGCCTGGCTTGGGTTCGTCCAAAATAGATTCTTGTTGCAAGCGCAAGGAAAATCATCTTTATTCTTTAGAACAGCTCTCAAAATACTCACAATTTCCATGTTTCCTGTCATAACTGTGTTTATAAAAGCACGAAAATCATGAAAAATGACAATTTCATCTAAGATGAGGGATTTTAGATCTAGAAATCATGAGGGGAAAAAAGTGTGGCGAGTTGTCCGAAAAGGCTGTGGCGAGTTGTCCAGGGTATTGTGGCGGGTTGTCCAGGGTATTGTGGCGGGATGTCCAGGGTATTGTGGCGGGTTGTCTTGGGGCGGGTTGTCTTTGTGGCGAGTTGTCCGGGATTCGCTAGGAATAGGATGCATTTATACTTTAAAATCTTTATTCACAAGACGATCTTATTCATCATTTTCATTAATTTTGAGATTGAGTTTGAGTTTATTGATTTCACATTTCACATGCAGAAATAATACAGATAACAAAATATAGTCTACATAAAGGACATAGATCTAGGTATTGTTTCATTTTTTTTTTTTAATTATTAGATCTAGAGTCTAGATCTATATTAATTGACAAGGTAAATCAAGATTTACCACACCAGCAGGAATATATTACATAGCATGAATAGACAAATGTAAATCCATAAATAGCAATTGCAAATATTACCAAATCAAATGTAGGCCTAGGGCTAGACTATAGTTATTTTTATGCTGAAATGCAACGTAGACTATCTGAAAATGAATGATCGTTCAGGCTAAATCACACACACACAAATAGGTACATGGGACTTGATACAAATCTAGATTCTTCAGTTTCGTTCAATTTTACTGGAAAGATACGTTGAATTTATGAATTTACTGGATGAATATTAATATAACACTAAATATATTAATGACACATTCCCTCTAAATCTTTTCACGATTAAACAAAAATATAACGAAACTTACAATTTGTGATGCTACAGACAGAAAACTAAACGAGATCGTCACACAGTTTTCAAGTTGACCTGACGGTTATTCATCGCGATAAACTGGTGAGAAATTAGTTTTATGGGAGAAAAAAGGATAAGTTTATTTCATTATATGTAAAAGTTAGATATGGAGAGTTGATAAATTGTGAATGTTGAACATTTGAATGAATAGTCATGTAAATTTAGAAAAATGATGTGGCTTGTTTTTTTAGTAGTATCTTCAGTTTAGTCCCAGTAATTATTATTGATGTAGGCCTAGCTGGGGTTCAAGTTTGAAAGAGGGGGGGGGGGGGGGGGGGGGGGGGGCAACACATAGCTGTATACAAAGCTGTGCTATTGATTCTCAACATTTCAAACACCACTGTACAGAACTCAACTGAATACTGATTTCACAAAAAATCAGTACTTTAGACAGTTTAGTGACAATTCATTGATGACACCTAAATAAATAGCAGTTTGTGAGAATTACTCATTCTTAATATTATGCAAGTGTGGAAGAACATCAGTTAAGACATGTTCCCTGAAAAGCATGGCTCTTCAAATGCCTTCATATTCTAAATTAGACCGAAAGCTTCAGTCTCTATAATCGTCGGTTGTTCCACTGAGACTACGTCTGGCTCCACTAGACCTCCGGTTATAGAGACTGAACGACTGCCTATGCCAGCCTGTGTTGAACTTATTCCGCTAGATTTTAGCCGTTAGGCCCCTCCCACAAACATGAACAAACTTGCCACGGCCGTATTGTTTTGCCCCCAAAATCCCCCTAAATGTCATTTTACCTCGTCCATATCCAATTTTAAATTAGGCCTAGGCTATAATACATCGGTTCCACTTACTAAATTTATTGAAATATTCCGTTTAATGGTCCCTTTTAAGGAAATTATGGGTCAAAATCGACATCCATGTTGAAAATCTTGCAAGCCGTGTTAAACTCTCGCTGCCGTCAATCTCATCCCTTCTAGTCTACGCCGAAGGCAAAATGATTATGAAGGAAAAACTGTGCGCCATCTACACGTTCGTAATGGCGTTATCACAGTTTTTCCGGAATAAGTTCAACACAGGCTGGCATAGGCAGTCGTTCAGTCTCTATAACCGGAGGTCTAGTGGAGCCAGACGTAGTCTCAGTGGAACAACCGACGATTATAGAGACTGAAGCTTTCGGTCTAATTCTAAATATAACATCGTAAAAATCGGGGGGGGGGGGCGGCTTTTTACGCCACGTGTTCATGTAGTCCCATATACATCTTTCTGTGCAAGTGTTTGTAACTTTACCAAGACTTGGCCAAATTTCTTATCATTTTGATGATTCCAAAACCTTGCAATACACACACATTCTTATATGCTAGATGATCAACCTTTTCTGGTCGGTTCGACACCGTTTCTTTCATAATGCAATCGCATGACCACAACTCAACTTCATCTTTAAGCCTACCGATATTGTATTTAATATTTGCCGATCAGCCACACTGGCATGATTGTGTGCATTTGTGTATTATAAGTATATTGACTATTCATGGTGCAAATGCTGCCTATTAGTGCAGTGCTAGAGGTCAATACGCATTAACATTGACTCTCTAAATCTATGCTTTGCTGCCGGAGTGGGGGGGGGGGGGAGGGTTGTTTCAATTTACGAAACCGTCACTAGACTCTACACTTGAATATTTGATTATTCATTTATTTACAGATTTATTTAAGCGCTTACTCTTCTTAAGTTAACGAACTACTACCCCTTAGACCCTGCACAATAAATTAAAAGCAATGTAGATAAAGTATTTACAGATTTGAATAAGTACAAATTTAACACGTCATATTTCATAAATAACAACTCGCAAGATTCAAGAAACATGATAATGAAAACAATCAAAAAGAAAGATTCTAAATAAATTTGATTAAGATTTCCTTTGCGACAGCCACCCAATTAAGTTTTAAAAAAACGGGGACAGCTTTTTAATAGTTAGAATGATATATCTAATAATAACATGGTAAAATAGGGTAAGGGACAGGGTTAGGGCATGTTCATGATTAGGGTTAGGTGGCTGTCGCAAAAGGAAATCTTTCCAATATTTCTTGTCCACACATCTGTCTACCGGTCCATAGTAGACTAGACATAGTCATGAATATTAGAATCAGCGGTGAAGGGTTTGCCTCGAAAGGGTGCGGTGTGGTGCCTTGTGAATGGGCCTTCTTAATGCACCCTTTCGGGATAAGCGGGGGTGGGGGGGGGGACTTTTCTTGAAAGGGTGCGTTGACTAGTCTTCCTCATCAGTCATTTAGAATGGAATTTAAGGAATAGAAATTGAAGTTGTTTAAAGATGTACTATGTCCCTTTTGCAGCCATCATCAAATTCTGTAGAACTTTGCAGGAATTAGGCATGTATGTCCTATCTGTGAAATTTAAACATGAGCAGTGTCCTGGTATTCAAATTATGCAAGGAAACCCATTAACCTTCTAGACTTTACTGTCGGACACTATTGAGTGACTGACTGACATCTTTTTTTCTTTGGTAATAACGTACATAAAATGAGCTGTAGTGTAACAGGTACATGTACATGTACATGAGCTCAATAACCCAATACTTGTAATGGCCAAAATGAAACTGAATGAATCTTTGTGTAGCATAAAATGTACAACCATTCGTTAAAAGGGACTGAAAATCAGACTATTACTTCAGTGATTGCAATCACTTAAGTTGATTTGACAACTAATGGTCGTTACAATTCCCACTAAAAGCCATTTGTAAGCCCTTTCGTTTTGAAGGAAGTTCTAAATTAGTATTAACTTTCAAATGTCGTTTAAATTTTTTTGAATAACTTTTTTTGGCCTGCAAATGGGAGGGACAGTACTTTTAAATTGAAACAGATTCTTGCAGATCAGGCGTTTATAAGAATTAAATTAATAAATTCTAAAAGACTGATGTGGAAGACTAGTCAACGCACCCTTTTTGAGAAGATCCCCCCCCCCCCCCTCCCCCTCCTGCTTATCCCAAAAAGGTGCGTTTAGGGGGTACTCCGTTCTCAACGCATCCTTTCAAGATAAGCGGGGGGTGGGGGCTTTTCTTGAAAGGGGGCGTTCAATGCACGTACCACACCGTGTCGCACTGCACCCTTTCGAGGTAAGCCAAGTTAAAGAGGGAACTGTCTGTATTTACAGCCTATAATCCAGATGAACTATGTAACAATATTTTGCTTGTAGTTGTACATTCCCTGCATTTTCCATCTTCATGCAATTACCTTGGTACAAATTATATCAAGTACAGGTATATATTTTGTATGAATAAGACTCTGAGTCAGGAAATACATGTACATGTACCTCTATTTTAGTACTTCTTCACATGTAAACAATTATTAGAATTGAATAGAAAATACCAAACAATTTGATGTGAACACTTGTGAAGGGGGAGTTGGGCTCTCTGCCAAATAACAGTGAAAAAAGGAGGCTTTAAAGGTAAAGACCAGTTATGGTCATGCGATTGCATTGTGAAAGAAACGTTGTGGAATCGATCAGAAAAGGTTGATCATCTAGCATCTAGCATCTGCAAGGTTCTGGAATCATCAAAATGATAAGAAATTTGGCCCATTCTTCGTAAAGTTACAAGCACTATACACAGAAAGATGTATATGGGACTACCCTATATCTCTCACAGACCATAAGAGAAACAAATTTACCAAAGATATGAATTAGTAGGCGGTTTCCAGCAAATTTTTTATCATCATGTATTAGTCAAAACATATTCTTTCACATGATTGGTAATGAGAGCTTCCATTTCATTTTTTGAAATTGGGGCGTTTCCAATACTGGTCTTTACCTTTAATTGCAATGACGATCTTCGTCATTGCCTTGTTTTCGTTCACATTCTGCCCCATTAATATTCTCCTTTTCCTTTTCCTTTTCCTTATCCTTATCCTTATCGTCAGGAAATCGCATTCGTTTTGCACGTAGTGTTTGTGATTCCTAGTTAGGTGCTTTCCTCATGTCCTTTTCCTTTCAAATTTTATAGGCATAGTCTCTAACATCTCATCAAGGTCACTACATTCTTCGATTTTGGAAATCACTCATGCATGACCGTCCAGGCGCCATTTTGTCCGTTTCTGGTCCATTTTAACGCCTTTATATCTTCCTTCCTATCTCCACTATCCTAGATCCTACAAACTTCTAACAAATTCCTCTAGATAGTCTGAGAGATGTTCTTTCATCTGCGACGTATGACTTGACCTTCAAAATGCCATCTTCATACTCGAAATTCAAATCTAAAACCGACTCCGTCAAAAATCTCTCAAGTTCTTGAAAAATGGACCCCTAAATAATCTAAAACTGCCATAACTTTCTCATATAAATTCCGTTTTGTATTTAAATCTTACAGTATCTTTATCTCATAATTGCGCAGAGCCATGCCAAATTTCACGCTCCAATGGCTTTGCACAACATAAATAGCGCCCTCTAAAGTTCTGGGAATTGGCTTTCTCTCTGTGGCCGTATCTCCATAATGGCTTGGCAAACCCGTACCCTTTTTTGGATTTAGATACTTGAAGATATGCCCTTTCCAGCCATATACAAAATTATATACCCTAACACTGACCAAATTTGAGAAAAATGCCCTCCAAATTCGCCATTTTCGAGGAAATTCCAAAATAACTTCAACTTGCTCTAAAATGGCGATCTCTACACCTATTTCAATGAAACTTTGCAGATGTATGTATCCATATACGTGACAACTGTCTGCCAAGTTAAGTAAAATTCGAATATATGTGAGCGCAAAGTTATCGTCAAAAATGATGAATTTACTATGCATTATGTAATAGCGCGTTTAATGCGTGCAATACATTCCGCGCGGATGGCAATGGTGTCAAACTGACCGCAATGAAGTGCCTTTTCGAATGATACCAAGTATGGTATATGTTCATACAGAAAATTGTGAGTAAATCGCATTTGAACAAGGGTCACTTTACGAATTCCGCCGAGTTTCCGCCCAAATCTAACACGTATCGGCTATGACGTCATTTTTTCAGACTGCTTTTCGCCCCTTAAACGTCCTTTTTTTTCCTTGAAAATTTGCAGTGACATGCCGAGTTCCAATACGCAGGGCACCTCTTGGCCAGATTTTTGAAATTGGTCAAGGGGGCCATTTAAGACGCCATTTTGTCCTATAAATCTATTTTACACCACGTGTTTCGATAGGATTATCATAGAAAAAAAGAGAGTGGTTTACAATAACAACCATGAAATTCTCTTTCTAATGATACCAAATACGGCCCATAAAGAGACGTAAAGAGAGAGAGAAAAAACAATTTAACTCCGGTCATAATACAGATCCTGCACGTTTTCCGCCCATTCATTACACGCATTGTCTATGGGGCATATCGGGTTCACGCTTTTGGCCCCCAGAACGATCTTGGTTGCAATGTCAAACATGCACCAAATCCCATTGGTTTGTGCACGCAGTGCTTGCGAGCCCTTTCTAGGTTCTTTCCCCTATCCCAATTTATTTCAAACTTCGTAGGCATAGTCACTACCATCCCATCAAGGTCACTGTTGATGCCTTTCTTTCGCCCTACCTATCTCCAATATCACAGAAGCTACAGACTTCGTGCAAATTGCTCTGGATAGTCCGAGAGAAGCTCTTTCGTTTGACACGTAGAAACACGGCGTCATTGCACGCACATCGTTCTGACACGATTGCATTTCTAGTTACAGTTTGGACCCCATGCAAAGAATACTATATCAACTCTATTGCAAACTCTACTTCCTATTTTCATACCTGCCATTCTCGCATTATATGTTTTATATCAGCCAATATCCATGTGTGCTGCAGCTGTGTGTTGTCAACCAGAAAGCTGACCAGAAATAATTCCTCCCAAAAGGCTTTCAGCTTCTTCTAAGGCAGACTCTTTCAAATACCCTCCAGTGCAGAAGTGATCCATGTTTTACTAGGGAACACCCATGAAGGTAAGGTTGATCAACTTGCATTTTACTATATAACCAAAATACCACTGATCTTAAAAGGAAACCTCATCCCCAAGAAAAAGTGTAGGTACATGTATGCTGAAAGATGAGTTTTATTCATGCCTATTGATCTACAATACCCCTTACGCAAATGTACAAGGGATGTATAAGTGAAGATACTCTTAGCGCGGCCATTTTCTTGTTAATGTGACAAACCAGGCGAACTTGTACTTGCATCTTGCACCAAGCCTTTATAGTTATAGAGACATTTTAATTCTTTAACAAAACCTGTAATTGTCAATGAGGGAAAAATCATAGCCGAGAAGATTAAAATAATATTTGGTGAAAAATATATACATGTAATAGGGGAAATAGTATAACACATAACATTTAAAAATAGCAGTTGACAAATATATTTCATTTATGTAAAGCCTTCACCCCAGATAAGCCACACCTTAATTATGAAAATGGTGTGAAAATTATATTTCAAAAGATAAGAGCAGGTGAATGAAACATTTCATCACTGAACACACAAGGAAGCATACATGAATTTGAATATATATATTATAAATGACTTTGCATACCTGTAGTATGTCACATCAAGAGAATGAAGATGCCCATTCTACATTTTTAATCACATTTAAAACATTGGTATAGCAGAGATGCCAACCCTCCCGATTTCATCGGGAGGCTCCCGATAATTCACCCCAACTCCCGACCTTACGATCACCATCCTTATCCTCCCGATTTATTATAAAAAATTAAAAAAATGATTTTTTTTTTTTTTTTTTTTTGGCGCTTATCAGTATATATATCTGTGAATTGAATGAGAAATATCGTCTGTTAACTTTAGCATGTAGTAAATCCACTATATTAAAAGACAAATTAAGAGTAGCGAAAGATTGTTTCAGCATATGGATCGCCGTAACCAATGCGTGGATATTGACACAGAATCCAAATGGCGGAAAATCAGCTAAAGAAGACCAAGAAATGGTATCAGAAGTATAAGACCGAACACTGTATCATATATATGAAAGGAATTCATCATGCATTTTGTACAATTTGTATGTTATTTTAAAAAAAAGTGGGAATTATTGAACTAAATACACATGTAAAATGCTGCAAAATAAGGCTCAGATTGCACCAGAGAGCATCTAGAACCCCAGAGCTTCCAGGGCCCTAAGGCGGGCCCTGGACCCCGGCCGCATGGGTCGGGCGCTACGCGCTCGAGATGTGCGCTACGCGCACATTATTTGGTGTCCGTTACAAATCCTCCCTATTTATGTTTTCCAAAAGTTGGCATCTCTGGTATAGATCCTAGCTTTATTATCCAATTGCATCCATTGATCATTTTGAATGTGGTGGTGGGGGGGGGGGGGGGGGGAGGTGTCTGACCAGGGTAAAAACTAGTCAGCATATTCCATGATCATTTATGTCATGCAAAGTTTTGGATTTGGGAGGGGGGGTTGAGCATACATCTGTTTTGATAAGCACTTTTGTATTGGTAAATTCCAACGTCACTTCCAAACTAAGTACATGTAAGTACAGTAGCCCTATAAACTATGAACACGTAGGCAAGGAATATTCTACCTACAAAACAGACTGTAGTGAATCAACAAGTAATTTTTTTCATCTCAAAATATTCATACATTATATATCGACAGATGTTATTCTACCATTCCCATGATTAATAATGGGTGGAAGAGATCACAGTAATGATTTATTACCTTTAAGTACACTTACCTTTAAATAACCTCTCCCCCTCTTCCCATCTATATTGCCATGAATCATATTACCAAATTGAGATCAAATCAAACAAACTAAATATTTTCCCTATGAAATTTTATCTAAGTAAACTAAAAAGCATTAATTATCTTTAAAATAAAAATTAAAAAAAATAAAACAAAACAATACAAATTTGGTTTTGTTATCAAGAAGGCACATGGTTTTAATTTCAAAATTCAACCATTGACATACAATTCTGGACTAATCTAAAATACTGGTACACTACATGTGTAGCTGTGTTCCTGTACTTGTTTGGATTTTACAAAATTTCTGTCAGAATTATAGATTTGAGCAATCAAGTTGTTTTATCCATGCACACTTATTCATGTAGTCATGCCACGTACAATGTATGTTCACTCATTTACTATACATTGCTAAAGTTCATAGCCTTGGAATAATAATGAAGCTTTTCTTTCACTTCATTAAATTTACCCATTGTATTATGTAGAATGCATTGCATGCATGACTGATTCTTTTGTTTCTATACCATACATGAGTGAGTGTGTATTTTATACAATTTCATCACTTTAGCCTCGATTTCATCCGCGACAACAATCATTGCATATTGTCAAATCGCATATGCTTTCGATATGTTAATTTGAACCAAATTCATGACCTCATACCAAAACTTTGTATTACCTTTAACAGTTAATTCTTGTTTTATGAACCCTCCTCTTATGTCAAACATTGAAATGCAATGTAGATTATTGTTTTTGTTAACTCTCTGTGCAGATGTTTCTTTGCGAGAAGAGTGTGAAGTATCATATATTCTGTTCTTATATTTATTTGTATTTGTGCCATCTGTGTACACTTTACTACTATCAAACTGCTTTTGGTATATTGTGTTACAGTGGAAGCATATTGATATGAAGTGAACCAAATCTGATGAGCTACTAATTGGATTTCCCCAGGACTTTTGTTGTTATATAGTTAGACTTGACTTGACCAAACTTGACACTGCAGAAGTTTAGTGGACTGAAATGAGAAACCATGCAGCTACATTTAGTAAGCAAGAGAAGATTTAAAGGGGAAGTCCACCCTGATATTAAGTTTGCTTTAATAGTAGCAGAAAAATGAGAGAGACAGGTCAGTGAAAGTTTGAGCAAATTCCAATTGAAAATTTAGAAAGTATTGAATTTTAGAAGTTGCGACCAATCAAAACACAATTGGCAATGCTGTGACGTATCTTGCAAGCTCTTCTCCAATTTGCTCTGTGTATAAAGGTCCATAAACTTTCTGTTTCTTTGTTATTTATATTGTTGAAGGAATTGAATTTTTCCATACGGGGGTTGAAAAGAAAGATATTTGCAATACTTGTTCTTAGGGTGGACGTTTGATTGACAATTTTCTTGAGGGAAAATAAACATTTCTGATTTTTATTTTCTTAACCCTAATAAGGCTGGGGGGGGGGGGCATTATGCCCCCCCCCCCCTCCACTCACTGACTTTTTTCTTTCGAGTCTTGCACATCTTTTAAAAGAATTATTTTGAAAATCGGACCTACAGTTACAAGATCACATGACCTTTTGTTTTTGCATGTCAGCCCGAAAATCGCTCATTTCGCGGAGATCGACCGTTTCACAGCCGAAATCTTAAAGGGGGGGGGTCATCTTAATGACCCCCCCCCCCCCCCCCCCCCCCCCCCCCGGCCGTACAGACCTCAAATAGCCCAGCCTTTTTAGGGTTAAGGGAGAAGAAAAAATTTAGTACAGAGCAAATGGGAGGGGATCTCGCAACATATCTCACAGCTCATTTGTGTTTGCTTCACCGCAACTTTAAAAATTCAATATTTTCTTATCTTTAATCAGGATTTGTTCAAACTTTCACTGACCTGTTCTTCTCATTTTTTGCTTCTAAATCCTATTGATAATAATATTGCCGGTAATAATATTCCAGTTTTATTTACCTGGTAGCGCTTAATACATCTACGATGTCTCTAAGCGTTTTACCTGGTCATTGGATTTAATGATTGCCGCACTCACTGTGTGCACAAACTTGATATCAGGGGGGACTTCCCCAGGAAGGGTGGAGTATCAGGATGGACTGTGTACACACAGTATATGACTACGGTAGTTGAATACACAAACACGTGCATGTATCATATTCTCTCTTGATTGTAAATGAGTACACATGAGATAGCATAACTTTAAGAGAGGAATCCAAACCAATTTCCTTGCACCTTGTAGGAGGATGATAAGATGATGCAGCTCTTGGCAGCTCTCAAGGCTGCCAGCTTGTCGGTGGATGAAGTTATCGATTATCTTGGAGCGGACCCTGTGAGGGGGCTAGACGAGAGCACAGCAGAGAGACGGCTACATGTCCATGGTCCAAATGAATTTGAGATCAGCAAAGAGGAGCCATTATGGAAGAGATACTTGGGCCAGGTAGGAACTTTTTCTTCTTCATATATTTCTTCTTTTTGTGGGGTTGCTCTAATCAGTGTATTGAAACCTTTCGGATGCAGTCTTAAAGTTGTTGTTCATTTTCATAAAAAATGATAGTGTGATTGTTTCGCATAAACCTAGGAACCTCTGCATGCATAAATTTATTGCCAATTTTGGTTCTTGTCAAGATTTTCGGACATTGTGAAATATGAAATACGTGATTTACTACACAGAATTTTGGCAATTTGTCAAATTTTTATGCCACTGAAATGGCTGTCATTTACAATCCAATAAAAGTTTTTAGGTTCAGCCATGTAACTACTGCATTCAAACTCCTCCATTCTGTGAGTTTTGTGTGTTTATGGACCACATTAATATTCATTGCATTTGTTCTTCTACAAACTGAATATTGATTTTAAATGATACATCTGTTAGTTCATCATAAAGAAAAAATCGTGCAAAGTGCTGCATTCAAACTTATCCATTCTGTGAGTTTAGTGTATACTGTGTTTATGGACCATATTAATATTTACAGCATTTTTAATTCTACAAACTGAATATTGATTTTAAATTATACATCTGTTTGTTCATCATAAAGCAAATCGTGTCCTACGGTTATTTGATGAATAAAAAATAGATGAACTTTCGCAGAGTGAAACAGAATACTACCTTTTTGGGTGTGTGATTCTATCTTGCATCTAGATTGCTGACAGTGTGAACATTTACTGAAAAGTTTGAAAATGTCTCAGCGAATGTTAATTTGGTGTATAACAGATAAAATAATTATTCATGCTTGTATTGTTACCCAGTTTTTTAAGGAGAGGTTATTTGGAGAGATTTAAGGAATTTTTAAATAATATTTATATACATGTATATATATATATATATATATATATACATTTCTTTTAATTTTCCAGTTCAAAGATCCACTCATCATGCTGCTGTTGGTATCGGCTGTGGTTTCCGTGGTGATGGGGCAGTTTGACGATGCTTTCAGCATCACTATGGTAACACCCAGGGCTCAAATTAATTTTTTGTCCATGGGGGCTCTTCCCCCCAAAAAGAGCCCCCGTGAGCCTTCTCACGGGGGCTCTTTTAGTACTGCCGGGGGCTCTTTTTGTATACAAAAATCCATTGAATTGGTACCTATGATACTCGTCAATTATTTGCTATTTCATCATTATCATTTCAATCAGCATTTTCCCTCTTACAAATTTACAAGCTACATAGCTGTTACTGGCCTGTGTATATAATATATACGCATACAACACTGATCTTTATGATATCTTTAACGTGACATATCTTCTTCTCCCCTTGCAAACGAGAAAGAAAACAAGGTCATTAAAAGGGATTAAGCGACAAATAATGATTGTGATTCAAATTGATGCGAATATTTGTTTGAATAAGCACTGCTATTCACCCGAATCTTCTTTGTAAAAACATCTTTTACAAATCTCAGCCATGCTTACTGAGTTGAGACGTTCCATTCAATGTAAAATACTCATTAAAGAATACACTTCTCCTAATCTGAAAGTGATCTTACAACACAGTGGCAGATTTGCATGGCTGAGATTTGTAAAAGTTGTTTTTACAAAGAAGATTCTGGTGAAAAGCATTGCTTATTCAAAAACAAATCCTTGCATCAATTTGAATCACAATGATTATTTGTCACATGATTCTTTTATTAAATAACCTTGTTTTCTTTTTTGTTTGCAGTGTTTGCACTGCGAGGTGAATTGGTAATAACTAGGCCTACTCATAAAACCAGAAATCTTGCACGCTAATCTAAGTTCCATTTCATTGGTTTAAGGTTTAAAAATTGAAACTCAATATTGTGTTAAAGTTATAACAGAAAAGATAATCTTTATTTTATAATTCCACGGGGGCGATTTTTAATTTTGCAATCGCCCCCGTGAGCAACCTGACGGGGGCGATTATGTAGCTCACGGGGGCGAATCGCCCACCGCCCCTGTGTATTTTGAGCGCTGGTAAAACCCACACACAGTTTTAATAACCTTCCATTGTACTTGTCTCTTGGTTGTAGAAAATGTTAAGTGTATTATCAAAAGCTACATGTCATAAATGTATTAAAATTCAGCTCCCAATGAGCTAGTACAGGATGATATACAGTACTTTATGTAAAGTACATATTCATATTCTAACACATAAACATGCACATCATGTGATATAAATGAAGTAGTCAACCCCTATCAGTCATGGAGAGGCACATCCAGAATTTTGTGAGGGGAGGGGGGGGGGGGGCACAATGCTGAACATAAGGGCAAAATTTATTTCTTTTATATTTAATACATGGAAGGTATGCCAATTGGATTTCAAAGGGGGGATGGGCTGGTTGTAACCCCAACCCCCCTCCCCCCTCCCAAAAAAAAAAAAAGACTGTCATTAAATCATGCAAGTGAAACAGAAATATTTAACAATTATTAAAGCATTTCAAAAGAGAATTTCTCAAGTAAATTACTGGACCTTCTTTAATTTTTTAGAGTTAATTTGCACAGGATGTCTGACCGACATCCGCACACAATTGTGGACACTTTTATGACTTTCTATTTACCTGCCCCGAAATTCAAGCTCTTTTAGGTTTCGGTTTTATACATACAAGCTAGCTGTGAAAAGATAACAGCATACCCGGTACATGTATACAGTGTACATACTTCTCTTGTTATTACATTAGTAGTTTATTTAAAATGAAGTCCTTTTGACCTCCAATACAGATTTTGTTGGTCGTTCAGATTATATACTGGTAGCCTACTTGTAATCTCCCTGTGCTGCTAGGCATATATTGTATGCATGCATGCATTTTTACATGTACTTAAATCATTGCTGATACATTAAAGGGACTTGGTAACATTGTTCAGATGAGAGATAGTGGTGCTAAGGTAGTGACTTCAATGCTAGATGTACAATTAAAGATAATCTGAAAATTTGAGTGAAAACCGACCATTATTCATGGTACAAATTGGGAAAAACTGATCTGATCGATTCCGTAATTCTCCCAACTATATTATTGCAATTTAATTACATTTTAGGTGAATGGAAATCTCACAAAGAAATACAATCACTCTTCATTCCATTCCAGACATTTAAATGTCGACAGATTTTTTTATAGCCTGTTTCATGTCTTTTTTTTCATGGAAAAAACGGTTGGGAAAATTCAAAAATGGTTGGGAGAATTTACTGTTAATCACTGTTAGAGGGTGTAGTTCATCGAGGCCTTCAAAGAAAACCATAGATATCTTTGTGGTTTAAGAATTTGTTCAGGATTTTTCGCATGTCAGAGGGTTAGTACAGTACAAGGAATATAGTAAGTAACATTTTATACAAAAATTAAGCAATTTTTTCATCAACCTTCAACAATATTACCAAGTCACTTTAATAACCTGTTGTATTTTGTGATTTTGTAGTATGATTGATGTACATGTATGCCTACATGTGCTATAATGTAGAGCACAATCAGTTACAAATATTAAACCTTGGCTCTTTAATATAAAAATCGAGATACGCTAAATAGTTTCGCTTGAATTTAAGTCAAGATATATGCTACAGGACCCTTATTCTGATTTGTGAAATACATGTGGCATCACATGAGTATGATAGACTTTGATAGCAGAGATAATGTTCTGGTTTTATTACAGTACCGGTATGTTTGGTTTATCTTGACATTGGAATGACACTTTGTTATCGAAAGCAAAGTGCCTTCACCTATTATGTGCTACCTTGGATGCTTTTACTGAAATGTCATCCATCATTCAATTTGAGCTCTGTATGTTTTGTTATGACTCGTGAAGAGCTTTGTTTATCTATGCAATATGAATTTAATGGATTGTTTTTCTGCTCTCTCCCTCACTAGGCAATCACCATTGTTGTCACAGTGGCATTTGTTCAGGTTTGAACTCATTCTACTTTGTAGATTTTTTATATTTTACAAATAGATTATGATAAATGATTTTTAGCATTTCTTTACCTCTCTCTTTCTCTTTATTTCTCTCCTTTTCTGCATGATATCCTTTCATCTCTCTGCTTCTTTTCTGTCTCTTTCTCCCTTCTTACTCTACCTCTTTTTGTTGATCTTGTATTATCTGTGGAAATGTTGTATGGGATTTATGGACTAAAAAGAATGTTTGATTTGATTGAAATATTAAAAATATCATGCACATGTACCCCAATTCTATGCCAAAATACTTTCTTGTTTCTGTCCCCCCCCCCCCATCTCTCTCTCTCCCTCTCCCTCTCTCTATCTCTCTCTCTCTCTATCTCTCTCTCTCTCCCCTCTCTCTCTCCCCCTCTCTGTCTCTCTCTCTCTCTGTCTCTCTCTCTCTGTCTCTTTTCTCTCTCTCTCTCTTTTCTCTGTCTCTCTCTCTCCCTCTCTTTCTATCTCTTTCTGTCTCCCCCCTTTTCATTAATTGATATTGATTAGATCCCTTTCTTTCTTGTTTAAATGCAGGAGTACCGCTCTGAAAAGTCTCTAGAAAAGTTGAGCAACATGGTGCCACCCATGTGTCGCTGGTTAGTGATGTATTTTCTTTTATATTTACACTGAAGTGAAATTTAAAAAAATGGAATCAAGGTCATTAACTTTATTCGTTATATAATATTTGAGTTTCACTCAGCCCAAGAAATTAATGAATTTTCGGTCATAAACAAAAATCTGTCCAATACTTAGTAGAGTAGGCATATACCTTTTTGAATATGTGTAGTGTAGTTTTTAACAGTAGGGGTCACATCTTATATCTACACATGAAGGTTGTGATTTGAATATATGGTTCCCCAATCAATCAAGTGAATATGAACTTGTGATTGATTTTGGAGAAAAAGGAACATCTTAAAAATAGGGAAGTCTATGAAAATTAAAATGTTCTGTGAATGGAAAATGGATATTCTTTACAATGTTTCCCATATGATATAATCTCGACCATATGTCCAATTGAATATGACCTTTGACTTTAATAAGTACCTATAGCCAATGGTCATATGGAAAGATCATTTGTTTTGGCATGAAATAGGTGGATATAAAGCTTATGTCATAGAAGATACAATGCACAGAATCTCCTAAAAAAGCATGCACTATCTGATACACGTTATCTCTTGTGTAACTTTGTATCTTCCAGCATCAGGGATGGCCATGTGAAGGAGTTTTTGGCAAGGTCATTGACCCCTGGTGACCTTGTTCAGCTGTCCATCGGAGACAGGATTCCTGCAGACATGAGGCTGATAGAGGTGAGAGTTCAAGGGATAGCTAGGTCACCATATTGTAATGAGTTTATGTTTAATGATTTAAAGGGTCTACAATAATGTATAGAGGTTTTACAAATCCAGTTTAGGCAGATGACAGAAGTCTTGTCAACATGCCCCTCCTCTGTTCCATAGATGCTTATTCGGTTTATAGAATACAAAATTCTCAGTATTTTAGAAAGGATGTGCATGCAGTGCAAGGAGAGTCACATTCTTTAGCACATTAAGATCCCACTGCACTCTTTGTACAAGAATAGACCACGGTATTGTGGTATCCCCAAACCTCTATCAATTTAAACTAGAGAAGACACTCCAGGCTACAATGATTGAATGTGGTTTACCCATCCAAGATGAAAGCTAGTTTGCAGACACAAAACCCCTGTCAGCCGTAGTGTGTAACATTGTGTCTGAAATAAGAGACCAAGCCTTTTTCAGGGTCTAGTACATCCTGTAGGCTCTGTACTAAAGCTGCTCCTAACAGGGCCAGAGATAGAGAGAGCTAGGTCCTGCTCAAGACTTAATGAAATTATATTTAAGTGGCAATTAGAGTCTGTGCCTACAGACTCGTTGACGGCTGTGAATAATGATTATAATGGTGATGATGGTGATGATGGTGATAGATAGATAGATAGAAAGATAGATAGATAGTGGTGGTGGTTTTTACCTGACTGCTAAGAAAGCATAAAATAAATGCATGTTAGTAAGCAACCAGAAGACCAACGGCTTTAGGTCCTCTCCGAGGGACCTGGTAATGAGGATTAATGCCTTACCAGAGGGCACTAGCGCATTGACTTGGTTTCGAACCCGGGTCGTCGTATTGCGAGACACTGCTCTACCGGCTGAGCTATCGCGCCTCCTCATGGTAATGGTGATGATAATGATAATGGTGATGATGTTGATAATGGTGATGATGTTGATGATGGTGATGATGGTGATGATGATGATGGCAATGATGATATTAAGACTAATAATTGCTCATATGTCATTCTTTGTCACACAGGCTGTTGACTTGGCAGTGGATGAATCCAGTTTCACCGGGGAGACCAAGCCTAGTAATAAGACCACACAGATTGTGACCAAGGACCAGAATGGAAAGAGAACCACGAGAAAGAACATTGCCTACATGGGAACACTTGTTAGGAATGGCCATGGCAAGGTCAGAACAGTGAACAATATACTTCCTTTGTTTATTGAACTATCCTCTTTCCCCTTTTATTTAGATATGTCTGATTTCTTTGGGACCAATTTTGATACGTGTAAGGCTTTTCCAGAACTTATAACATGTTTTGAGCATAGCAAGCTGAACTACTGATTGTTTGTTTTCCCCATGAGATGGGAACCTGTTTCAAACTGCTTTGTAGTGTGTGTGTGTATGTGTGTGTGTGGAGCAATATTCTTGTCTTTTTATGATGAGCTCATGGGTGCAATTCCAGCTTAGTGCCTCCTAAAATACCACTGAAAATTTATTGAAATCAGCAGTCATGACGTTTTCTGTTTGCTCTTTGCAATGACTGCCAGAGCCAAAGTCAATGTTATTCTTTTTAAAGCTCATACATATTTGAACATACTGTGTTTGAAAAAGACCATTTGATCCTTTATGTTTTCTTGTTTTGTCCAGGGTATTGTGATTGGCACAGGGGAAAATTCAGAATTTGGAGACATCTTCAAGATGATGAAGGCTGAAGAGGTAAGGATACCAAATACAAATCCCGCAAAATTTCCCATTAACGTACACGATCAATAAAGCCTTTTCAATTGTATCGATGAGAACGCCATGCACACCCAGGGAGTGTGTTGACTCAGGTAATCGACACCCCTTGTTTGCTTTTTAAACCGTTTGAAACCGTTTCAAGTCCAGTTGACGCCCATTCACCACACTAGTGAACATGATGATGTCTAAATGTGACGTATTCATCATGCATATGCATATTTCCCACCTGCCTGCCACTTTGAATGACCTCAGATTACAAAGCGATGCGGCTAGATAGAATGGCGTTCTGGATTGAGGTGACCGTCAAATAAGAGGTGAACCCGTTCTCGATTCTGGTGGTGGACAGGTAGATAACATCGGGCATGCGCAGATCATCAAAATGACGTCAGAATGTTGAAATTCACTATTTTGATGTGACAATAAAAAAAGCTTAAAGGTAATGCAAAGTTTTTGGAAATTTCGAAAATTCGATTGATAGTAATTCTTTACAATTTTGATGTATTTGGATGCCCCTGTAGATGTTTTATAAGCACTAAAACATTTAACTGCTAAAACACTTCTGCTTTCAAGAAATTGAATAATCAAAATTTACCGGTGCTCCCGGTAAATTTCAAATATTTCAAATAGCTCCTAAAGCCATTCCATGGTAGCTGCAGCCATTAAATTTTAGAATATGCAGTTCTGATATATAATTACCAAACGGTAATTGCAAATCGGTCGATCGTAGTCAAGAAACATTGTTTTAGAGCTTAAGTAATATCAGTCTTGAGAGGGTGCTATACAACATAGAGAGTTTATTATCTACAATTTCATCAAATTAGACTTGATTTCAACTGCGACAACGATCATTGAATATTTTTAATTCGCATATGCCAAAACTTTGTAATACCTTTAATATCACAAATGATGCAGTTCAGTTGTGCTACATGCATTTGATGATTTCAAGAGTGTGACCTTTAGGGTATGACTGAATGATTTGTCATATAGAGTTCTAAAATAGAGTTTTTAAAAAACCAATGACTTTTTCACTTTCCTTGTTTTAGCTTCTCGGTCACAAATTATTGATTCAAACTTTCATGTGGAAAAAACACTGTGTTTAGTATACGGTAGATGCAATTATTTGCACTTGGTCTAGTCTGGACTTTGCACTACATTGTGGGAATAGGAATCTCTGCAAATATGTACATTTATAACCAGATACTGTGGTTGTGTATCCGGACAGTTGATTTAAAACAGGACGTTTTAACAAGTCTACATGCAATATTTGATTTATTTCATAGTTCTTTCAAGAAGAAATTAATATAAGGATGAATAGTTATGATCGTTAGTGTTATTTGATGCATACATTTGATTAAATCTGAAAGCAAATGTGATGACTCTTTTTTGTTGAGCCTCCGAACAGACAACCTCCCATCATACAAATTATCAGTATTTACACAGTTTACCTGAGAAATATCCAGAAATTGCAGATTAATTACCTATAGATATATTTCTGGTAACTAGTCCACAAACCATTTAAATGATTCATCAGTTTAATACATTCTAACATGGTTTACATTTTGAGGCTAGGACAAAATGGATTTTTTTTCTTTCCCCCTTCTTTTTTAAATGTTACATATGCTACACAACCAAGGAAAGCAAACACTGGGTGACATTTTTTGCCAACAATTTATTTAAAAACGCAATGGAATGAATTAAAGCCAATCTTGTGAACATAGGTTTCTTCTGGCAAATATCTCTTGCATCATTCTTTAATATATATTTTGTTAAAGCACAGTAAAATACTTATGTGTACAGTGGAATAACATTTCATTTATGAATAGCAAATAATATGTTACTGCTGCACGAATGTATTTAATACATTTCCATTCATTTCTAATCAAATTTCCAACACTAAGGTCTTCATTCTTTCACAAACATTGGACATAGAAGTATAGTGATTGTTCTCGCCTTTCTGTACAGCAAGCCTATTTGGATAAAGAAAACTAGATTTTGACCTTCCTTACTTGCATTAAGTTGTACTTGTTCTATATTTCACTTGAATTATTCCTAATGTAAGAGATTAACGTTGTTTCTTACTTTGTAAAGTTTGTAATCCTCTTTAGTAATTCATTGTTCTTTTTTATTTTGTATCTCTTGCCAAGAGTATGGATGGTATAGGCAAACATTGATCCTTTTATTTCTTCTACAGTCATACCTGTCTACAGCGACCACCCAAGGAAAACACAAAAGTGGTCTTTGTAGACAGGTTCCTTTGGTACATGTTTCAATGAGAAACCATTTTCAAGGAAAACACAAAATGTGGTCCTTGTAGACAGGTGGTCACTAAAGCAGGTTTGAATGTATATTATTTCACATCAATTCTACAGGTGAACTCTTAGTTTGTTTCATGCTTTTAATATCCTTTGGTGATTCATTTCTCTTTTTATTTTTGTTTCCCCTTATAGGCACCTAAGACACCATTACAGAAGAGCATGGATAGTCTTGGAAAACAGCTGTCTTTCTACTCCTTCTGTATCATAGGTTTTATCATGTTCTTGGGATGGTTACAAAACAGAAAACTGCTGGATATGTTCACCATTGGTGTAAGGTAAGTAGCTGGAGATTAGAAAGCCATGGTTTCTATATATAGGTACCACAGAGGCACAGGCCCCCTTCTCCCCGCTAAACAATCTGCGCAATCTGAAATACCTTAATCATACATGAAATACAAATGGAAAGAGCCCCCCTCCCTCTTTGAACAAAAATTGAAATAAATTAAATGAAAACATTGCCCTTTGTTGCTTGTTTCTTCAAATATTTTTTTGGCTAGTGCCCCCCTCCATATTCAGAAAATCCTAGATCTTCCAATGGCAGAGAAGCCATTTTTCTGGATTCTTCTTCAAAATAAGAATGGTTCTGGGGAAAACAGAGAAAATTCTCTGTCTTTTTCTCTCTAAAATGCCTTTCTCTCTCTCTCTCTCTCTCTCTCTCTCTCTCTTTCTCTCTGTTCTTTTTATTTTCCACTTCTGAATGCCTGCCTCCATCTCATATGTACAAAACATTTGTGTTTTCCATGCATGATCAATTTCAAAACCTGAATCTATACATAGATTAATATAGAGTAATTTAGTAACAATAACAATTATTGCGCTTATACATACATTTGATTCCAATTTTTCATTCCAAAGGTTTATACAGTACATAGCTAACGTTTCTGATAGTTGAGCTCTGTTATTGGTTCATATTATACTGACTGTTTTAATAATAACTATATACAAAATGGTATTGATATATCAATATAGGATACACGTCAATCTTTCAGTAAGCTTAATTCTACACCCTTCACCTATTTATTATTCTTTGTTTTTTATTTTCCATAGTCTGGCAGTAGCAGCCATTCCAGAAGGCCTGCCCATTGTCGTCACAGTAACCCTTGCTCTTGGAGTGATGAGGATGGCCAAACGTAGTGCAATAGTCAAGAAGCTACCCATTGTAGAAACATTAGGTGAGTTCATCAATATCAAAATCAGCTTACTTCCAATCGTTGGGTCATCTTGTCTGGAGGGTGATCGTATTACCTGACCTTTTGTGAAAACATGAAATGTCAGGGGTAATGTTTGTGAAATAATCCCTTCTCATCTACAAATGGTCTGATCCAATTTAACTGACACTTTGAGAAAAGCCTAGAAAAAAATTTGTGAAGGTTTGCGTCCTTAACCTGCATCTTCACATGATCATCGATTTTCGTTTCAAGGAAGGATGTGTAACGTGACCACCTGACCGGACGTGATGACACGATGTTCCGAATTGAGCCTAAAAATCGTTGGTTCATTCTGTCTGATGTCTTGTTGAGTGACTACATACAAGGAAAAGGACATTTAGAGGAAAAAAAATAGCAGACCTACCATTGTATTCACAAAATCAAATTTTAGACATTTTTCGAATTTATATTCATTTTCATTAACTTATCCGTTTTTTGCACAGGTTGTGTGAATGTAATTTGTTCCGATAAGACTGGAACCCTGACTAAGAATGAGATGACAGCTCTAAGCATCCACACTTCGGATGGCATCCGAGCTGAGGTAATCTTACTTGTTTATCAAATTTATGTATGTTATGTTGTTTTTTTACAACTTTTGCACTTTTAAAAATAAGGATAAGTATAAGGTTAAGTATAATAATTCATTATTCATATTAGGAAATTTGGTTTCCACTGGTTTCAAAGTCATACAATATCAAATATCCATATACAAGGATTTTTCTTTACAACTTGAATATGTCAACTTTAACAGAGCATAGACTTTATGATCTAGCAAAGAACTTATTCCAGAGAGTTTATAACAGGGAGATGAAAATAAATAGAATAGATTCCATGAAATTTGCTCCGGCGACAATTGCTCCGCTGTAAATTTCATACACTAATCGAATGGCTAACTTCAACCCTGGATTCAACACTATACCCTACCCTAAACCTAACCCTAAACCTAACATAAAACCCTATTGAAACCCTAACCCTTCATCTTAGACGAAATAAAGCCCGGAGCAATTGTCGCAGGAGCAAATGTCGTGTCACCATAGAATATCATAGCAAAGTTTGTTGCCCTCTTAGTTATGTTCTTAAATTGTCAATATCCAGTAATGTTGTTCATGCAAAGTGCAGGTTCTTTCCAGAGATGTGGGATATGAAAAAAGAATTTAATAGGGTAACTTGATTATTGATAAAAGAATAAATATGACTGTCATTAAATGTCAATCCCTTTATCTCTGTATCCATTTTGGAAATGTTACTATATTTCAATTTATATACAAGTTTGTAAACTAAAATATGATTGCATCATTGACGTTCAGCCTGGTTTAATAGAGATATATGTTACAGGGCAAGTGATTTACCTTTGATTATATATTACCCAGGATATACTTGTGTGAAATTTACACAAGCAAGTATGTAATCTAAATGTTATGTACATGTACACGTAATAGAAATGTGGTGGATGATTTTTGTGTAGGTAAGTTTTTATGTTATAGTGTAGTTCTGCATTCTCTTTCAGTTCTTTGATACAATAAGAAGGAAAATGTCAGTTATGTATTATTATAGCATTGTCACACAAGATTGTTTCAGTAATATTAATGATTGATGTTTTCTTCTTTCTTTTTCTTTCCTTTAAAAATATATATTTTGTAAATTGCTCGTATATAATTTGAGAATGTTGATACTATTTTAAGTATTTGATCTTGTAAACAAATACTGATGATGGGTTTGGTGATTTTGAAGAAAGTCAGTCTACTTCAATTCACATGATTCTTGACAGAGGAGCTATGAGACTGTATTTAACCCCATCTCTCTTGTCCTGTACAGGTGACTGGTGTTGGGTACAATGGAGATGGGATGGTAGTAGTTGATGATATGCATATACTAGGTTACCAGTCTCCCTCCATAGCTAGAGTAGTAGAGGTGAGTTTGAAACCGATTTTATGTGCCTTTTAAATAAAATTCCTCTTTGTATTTTCTATGTTTGTAGATATTTACACGATTATAACCACCTAAATAAAATAAAAAGTAACAAACCACATCCAAATACAACATAGGTAGTAAGGAAAAAGCCGAACATATTAGGCATTATTTTTTTAGTTCTCTTTGACATCTGAAAAAGATATTGTACTGTCATGGAGAAAAAAAAACAGTCCAGTCAAAGTTTCCATAAGAAAAGAAACAACTCTCAAAGAGATATGAACTTTAAATCACTCCATTTAGTACTTCACACATGCAGTGTATTCAGGCTTTAAAAGTAGATATGTTGCTCAAAGCTCAAAGCTTCGTTCACCAATCATTCAACAAAATCAAGCATCCACAGACGGCATTGTAATATTATCCTATCATTGTTATAAACAAGGATTTCCTGCTACCTGAAGTGATATTATTCAGTGACGGGTAGTTGATTGTTATTCATGACAATTTTCTCATATTTTCCCCTTTCTCTCTTGACAGGCCTCATGCGTATGCAACAATTCTGAGATCCGTGACAATGTTTTATATGGACAGCCAACAGAGGGAGCCCTTCTTGCCTTGGCCATGAAAGTAAGTGGAGAATTCTTAGAGAAATAAAATGACAATGTTAAATTATAGGTGTTATAATTTAATGATAATAATAATAATATTCCGCTTTTATATAGCGCTTAATACAAATGTCTCTAAGAGCTTTACAGATATAATATTACCCTGGTCAATGGATTCAATACTCACCCCAACACAATGTGTGCACAATCTCCACTCCCTAGGGAGCATTCTAACCAGGCGTTACTTGCAATCAAAACTTGAACTTGAAGAAGTGTATAAAACAGACTGTGAAAATGATAATCAAATGAACTTTTTATTTCCTTTTCTATATCTTTATATTTTAACTCTGCATACTCTTGGTTGAGAGCATAGAACATGAAACATCGAAAAGGAATTCTTTTGTTAATTCTTCATTTTTGTCATTCCTCAGATGCAACTCCATCATTCTAGGAGTCGATACACCAGGCTGTCTGAAATCCCATTCAGTTCAGAAACCAAATGGATGGCTGTCCGCTGTCGACCTCATGACCCCGCTCCTAACCTGTTGCCGAGCAACGAGGAGATCTATTTTGTGAAGGGGGCCCTGGAGCGGGTTCTGTCGAAATGTCGGACTTACAATGTCGAGGACAGATCAGAGCCTCTCAACAAGCAAAAGATTGAGGAGATTAAAGAGGAAGGCCGTCAGATGGGCGTGGCTGGACTTAGAGGTGAGTAATTCAGAATGTTTGTCAGGTAAATAAAAAGAGAAATGAATTTGTCAGAGGTTAGTCAGAGGTCAGTCAGAGGTCAGAATTCATATACACATGCATCTCACTGTCTGGTCGATGATGTGATTTTTTTTCTTTTGAAGGCATATCAAAAGAAATTATTCAAGTTCTATGTCATCTTTTCATTTCATACCAATATAAACTAAATCACATTTTATTGGGTTTTGTCTTACAATATTTCACCTAATCAAACATCTCACATGGAACTCACTAGCTTTCCTTTTCTGCTACATGTAATCTCATGCCAAAAGTTCATTTCCATTTATCAGGTAAACATGGACACTGTGTGTGCAATTGCATTATAAAAAAACTGTTTTAGAATTTGATTTTGTATAAAGTTTGTGTGAGGTGGCTGAATAATCAAATAGTAATAAATGAACATTATCGTACTGAAATCAAATACATTTCTTTTTCTAGTATTTTTCTGTATCTGACTATGAGGGCATTTCTACAGCAATTAATTTCATGTGTTGTGTCATTGCTATTATGAAATTCAAACACGTATATGTACAAAAAGAATTTGAAAGCTCATATATCCATTCTCAGGATTCCTAGTACGGTAGTCGACCTTCTCTTTATAAACACACCACACTCTTTGCATTCGCTTTCCATCTCAGTTCTTGGCATGGCTGTTGGGCCAGGAACGGAGAACATGACTTACCTGGGTATGGTGGGTATCTTAGACCCTCCTCGTCCTGGTGTAAGGGAGGCCATCGATACACTACTCAGCTCTGGGGTAGCACTCAAGATGGTTACAGGAGACTCGGCTGAGACGGCAATTGCTGTTGGTAAGGCCCAGTTTGATTTACATACATGTATATGCTCCCCAGGAAGTGGAGAATGTGTATACATTGTGTGCGGCAAGCCTAAATCCGATGACCGGGGTGATAATATATCTGTAAAGCGCTAAGAGACATCGTCGATGTATTAATTGCTATATAAAAGCGGAATATTATTATTATTTATTATTATGAAATGTCAAGTAAATGAGAATAGTTATTTCAATACAACCATATTAAAGAGGTTAGTTATTCTTATTTTTGAGATCTGAGCACTGTCTGGTAAAGAGTTAGAGTTTATCTGAATCACAAGATGTCACAAGCAAGGATTGTTAAAATGTCTATTATAATTAACTAGCAGTCCTAGATTTGAGTAGCGAGAGGAGTCACTCAATTAATGAGCTAATAATTCTTTAGAGATAAGAGGATCTTCTGGTTTTATGTACAGTCTAACCTGTTATATTAACCACCTGTCTATAAAGACCACATTTTACGTTTCCCTTGAACTCTGTTTCTCATTGAAAACTGTAATAAAGGAACCGGTACATAAAGACCACCTGCCTATAGAGACCACTTTTCTTGTCTCCCTTGAGAGGTCTTTATAGACAGGTTTCACTAAAATGGAAGACTACCCAATGAGTGATTTCAAGTTGGGTGTTAGTGTTAGTATTTAGAGCAGTCAAGAGCTCTTATATCGAGCTAAAAATTTGCTGATGAAATCAAGAGCATGATAGCTATATCAATATCGATAGCTTAACACTAACACCGAACTGGAAATCAACATTTGCTTAATTCCTAGGGGCTAGTGTTAGTGAATAGGACATGTGTACGTAAAATATTAACACCGGCCACAAAGGTCGGTTCAGCAGATGACAACTTTGCAAAATCAATAACACTTAGCTACGGGAAGTTGACGATATTCAGAGGTCAAAGCCTTAACACCAGCTGATTTCCATTTTGTTGGTTAGGGCTGGTGTTAGTGTTTATTAAACACTAACACCAGCCCTAAACACCCAACTTGAAATCACTCAATTTCTTTTGGAGCTCCAGCTGTCAGGGGAATGTACACCTGTTTGTTTTGATTCTTCATGTCCCAGGTAGCAGACTGGGTCTATATGCCAAAGGTTCTACATCGCTGTCTGGTGAAGAAGTTGAAGACATGAATTTTATTGAACTAACCAAGATGATAAATCAGGTATGCATGAGCTTTCTAGTTCTCATCCTAACCCCCCCCCCACCACCCCTCCCCCATATATTGATGTTTCCTCTGAGTATGTATAGTATTCATTCCTTGCAGTGCTTGATAGGCTTACCAAGGAGAAGTTTCATTTGATTTCCGATTGACGTATGGCTAGACTTATGAAACAAGATCTTGTTGCATTAGACTAGCCATTGTTGTTCTTTTCTCTGTCTATGTCTTTGTCTCTCTCCCTCTTTCTCTCTCATGTAGTTATTGTCTTTTGATTTTTTTCCTTTTTCATTCAGGTTACAATCTTCTACAGAGCCAGCCCAAGACACAAACTGAAAATTGTCAAGGTAGGTGCTTGAAGTAATAATGTTTCATAAAAGCATTTGCAGTAGTGCTAAACACAATGAATTATATTCAATAATTGTTAATTATTTTGTCATTAATATTTTCTTATTAATTCATAAGATTTGACTGATCAATCTGCAGCTATCAAGGATTAGGTATTAAAATGCTCAGTTTCAGATATTAAGAAAAGATGAACTTCTCAATTTACAGCGTGCCTTGAAGCCCGTCTGTACTCGTTTGGCCAGGAGAGATTAGACCTCCCTGCAAGGTCACTGGCAGGTGGTTATCTCATCAAATCAGCTCTCAATTAACATAAGAAAAACAGGATCATGGGGGACCAACAGGCACCAATTAGGCATTGTTTGCTATATAAAGGGAGCAAGTAGCTATAAGTAGTGCAGTGGGGCTTTAACATTAAATATCCGAGTATGTGTGATATTTCCCACCCCAAAACCTTCATGGAGCACTAAATTCACCTCTCCAAACAGGCGTTGCAAGCCACTGGGGCTGTGGTTGGAATGACGGGTGATGGTGTGAATGATGCAGTAGCGCTCAAGACAGCAGATATCGGCATCGCCATGGGGATAACAGGGACAGACGTGAGCAAGGAAGCAGCTGACATGATCCTCGTTGATGATGACTTTACCACCATCCTGTCGGCCATTGAGGAGGGCAAGGCCATCTTCTACAATATCAAGAATTTTGTTCGATTTCAGCTTAGCACGTGAGTGATTTAAGCTTTGCAACAAGATTATTTTCCAGATTTTTGTCATTCTAATCTCTTAATCCATTGCAATTAATGTCCAAAGACCATGTTTTATTTGTGACAACTTGTTTCAAAAGGCATTTCATGTGTGACTTTTGATACTGTACATCAGATTTAATGTACCTTGTTCAATATCCATAGGTTCCTACAACTGAAAATAAGATTCACAAAACATTAATTATGTATACTTGTCACTACTTTAATATTTTTGCACTTGCTTTTTGTGTATGAGTTTGAATACCTTGTATAAATGCCAAAGCTAAAGCACTTATGGCTATTTACCTTTGATTTCAAAGTGTTATCTTGAAACTTTCAAGCTGTTGTGCCTCTATCCCCCCCATTGATGATGTAGTATATATGTGTGGGGGTTGTCTGTCTTACTAATCTTGTTGAATAATTTGTATGCGGTTTAATGAACCAACGAATCCATCATACGTATCAATGTGGATTCGTCGGTTCATAATAATGACAACGATTATTGATTATTATTATGTCCTGGGGGGTGTTTCACAAAGACTAAGATCGACTTTAAGTTAGACTTAACTATGGCAGGCCATTCGTGACACTGGTTGCTGTTACCATTGGTCTCTCAATTTTGATCTTTAGATAATATTTTTTTCTTTAATAGTAAACTATCAAAAAAGGTAAATTCTGTAGATTTGTGACCATGATTTGTACGTCCCTTGAGAGACCAATGCCAGTTAACGGTGAGAGCAAATGATAGCATGAATGGCCTGTCATATTTAAGTCCAACTTAAAGTCGATCTTAGTCTTTGTGAAACACCCCCAGGTCATATTTGAAATACAGTCACATCATGTAAATCATTTATTTATATATTTTTCTTTTTGTAATTTTATTATTGACATTTTAATCTTTTTGTATGATTATTATTCCTTGATATTTGCAGGAGTATTGCTGCTCTGACCCTGATAGCCTTGTCCACCATGCTAAGTTTTCCCAATCCATTGAATGCCATGCAGATCCTATGGATCAACATCATCATGGATGGACCACCGGCACAAAGGTAACAAAACAAACTTCATTTTGCTCCTAGATGCAAGAGGCTTTAATTCATGTTAGGCAGAGATTTTCTTTTAAAATTCAATTTTCATCTTGATGATTGAATATTCTAAATACACGTTCAATGTACCAATCTAATGAATTTTAATGTTGTAAAGAAAAAGTTTGTTAAGTTGTCTTTTGTGCTAAAGGTAGTGTCATTGTACTTTTAAAGCACAGAAGTTATCGACCAACCTCTGACTATTTTCTTGTGAATAACAGTTTGATTTGTTGGGAAAAGGCTGAGAATTCAGTTATTTTATGACAATGCAGGTCTTTCCACATTTCTGTGCCTTTGATAGTAAATTAGCGTTTGACTTTAGTGAGGTCCTCTTTGATTCCCATTTTTGTGACTTTCACTTCGCAACTCTTCACGACTAATCTCTGCATCTGGTGAGACACAAATTTACAATGACATGAGGTTTTGGTTGGTCATGTTGTATGGGAGCATTCTATTTGTTGCTTCCCGCTGAACGGCTTCACAATATCTGTATTCTTTTTGGCAGTCGATGAGAACGTTCAATGTCCTCTTTCTTAAAGTTCACTTCATTTATTTTTTAGTGAGATCAAAGGTGAGGTCACTAATGTCCTTTGTCTCTTCCTCTACAACTCCATAGAAACGCAATGTCTGTGTATTATTAGGGTACCGGATAGTTTCTGTATTACCGGTAAGCCTATAATAATCACAGAATTAAGTTGTAAACTGGTTAAGTAAACATTTAGCTCAAAGTAATGGTAAGAATATTTTGCTCGAGATATTTGATGTATTTCGTAGCTGTTAGGCCTTGGGATTTGTATTCAGTCATTCCTTCCAGGGGGGGGGGGGGGGGGGTTTCACAAAACTTGTCATCAGTGACAAATGACAGTTTGTGTTATAAGCTACTGAAATTCTTGCTTCTGATTGGTTATCAGCAGATTTGTCAATGAATTTTGTCATTTGTGATTGATAAAAGGCTTTGTGAAACGGGTCCCTGGTGTCTACCAAAGGTTGACTGTTTGATTGAAAATGTGATGAAATTGTAAACATTAAAAATACATGTCTTTTACTTTGTTTCCTTTCTCAGTCTTGGAGTAGAACCTGTAGACAAGGATGTTATCCGTAAACCCCCTCGCCAGGTGCGCGACCCCATGATCACCAGGTCACTGCTTATGAATGTCATCATGTCTGCGACTATCATTGTAGCAGGTACTCTATGGGTCTTCTGGAGAGAGGTAAGGTTTGTCCCATTGATTAATGTATGGAAAGATAGCTCACTTTATCAATATCAGTATGTTTGCTACCATCATTGTCATTGGGACTCTATGGATCTTTTGAAGAGGGGTGAATTTAAACCACAGCTCATTATTAACAGATAGTTTACTTATCAATTTCATTGTGTCTTAAACTCAAATAAAAGAAGTCATTGTAGTAATTTTCTCTTTGCAAAGTAATTTGTTGTGTATTAGTATACCACAGCGTTTTTATTCAACCTTTTATTAGTCATGGCACCCTGAAATGATGAGCTTTGCGTCACCCAATCCCAAATTCATCACAGAATATCCATTTTGCATTACTCTGACACCCGCCAAGTACCATTTTTAACACATACAGCCACATTTGTCTCTAAGTCGAGTTTGCAAAGAGCGAGCTAAAAATACATTTATTGACATTTTTAATACAGTTAAAGAAATTATTTTATATCAAACAGTAGATAAGATGTACAATAGTGTATGCCAACACCTCGTCTCTGATCATACATGAATACAAAAGTCATACATTTGGTCACCTTGATACACCAATATGAGGATATTATGGCATCTCCTTGCCCAGAATTATCCTGATTTGACATGTATCGAGTGTGTAAGGCAAGCATGTTAAAAATATAATTTCTATAATAAAGATGAAAAGATATTTTTGGGTACCTTGCTGTCAAATATGGAGGTTTTTTTGAACATCATTGCATGAAATGATCCTGTTTCTTTCTAAATGTTGCGAGAGAGCGAAGCGACGAAGGAAGAAAGACACTTATTATCTTTCAAATGTTATTCCTTAACACTCTCACGATTTTCACAAAATGGATGTATTTCTAAAATTATTTTAGTATATAACTAAATTTCTCTCGCAGCACCCCTAGCGATGTCTTGCGGCACCCAGTTAAAAAAACGCTGTCTCAAGTTAAACAGTAGTTATGAGTTAATACATGATTGGGCCTTTCTTTCCCTACCAATAGATGCAAGACAATATCATCACACCTCGCGACACCACCATGACCTTCACCTGCTTTGTCTTCTTTGACATGTTCAACGCCCTCAGCAGTCGATCACAGGTCAGTCAGAAATCTTCAGGGTTTTACAATTCAAAATAAATGCCAAGAGTGGGCTGTTTAACCCCTTCTATTCCAAGGGCAACGTTTGCTAATGCCATTTTTTTTCTATGCTGGATTTAAAAAAACAAGTGTGTATCGATTGTAATGAAGGGGCATATTTGAGTCTTAATCTGGCAATTAAATGATAAATTCAAATTCAAATTTCAGCTCTTGCAAAGTAATTTTTCGGAAATGTTAATACACGTTTGTGTATTGTACAATTGAACCTGCCTTTAATGGAGATTTCCGATATACCGTGTGAGTAAAAAAAAAGTTTACACCTAGAAAATTGCTAATTATTTTAAAATTCATCTATGAACAGCAAATTATTATACATCTTATGAAAGAGTGTTTTGTCCCAAATCATATGGTATCATTTTTGTGATGTAAGTGTTCACGCTTGGATGAACACGAGGCATTGTTTGCGAGAGTGCAAAAATCGACTTGCGCCAAAGTGATGCGTACAATATGTATTATGTTGGGATTAGCGGAGTGAGAGAATCAATTAAATGTATTAAATGAAATGCATTACATATGCTTTTTGCAAAGGGCAAAGTCACACCACCCACACACACGCGCACAAATGTTTGTTGATATTTGATATTTGACATGTGTGGCATGATTAATTTTGTTAGGGATGTTATTTGGATCTGCAAAGACCGAATTAATACCCAAATCCAAATTGTTTTATTCAAACATCACAATAAGCAACTTTGGCTCAAGTCGATTTTTGCACTCTCGCAAACAATGCCTCGTGTTCATCCAAACGTGAACACATACCACACAAAAATGGTACCAAATGATTCGGGATAAAACACTCTTTCATAAGATGTATAATAATTTACTGTTCATAGATGATTTTTAAAATAATTAGCAATTGTCTAGGTGTAAACTTTTTTTTGACTCACTCTGTAGACAGACCACCTGTCAAGAAGGACCATATTTTTTGTTTTCCTTGAACTGTGTTTCTTATTGAAACCTTTCCTTAAGTAACCTTTACTTAAAGCCACACTTTCCTACTTGTAGCTACTTGCTCCCTCTATATAGAAAACAATGTCTAATCGGTGACCATTGGTCCCCCATGATCCTCTTTCCCTTATGTTAATTGAGAGCTGAGTTGATGAGATAACCACCCGTCAGTGACCTTGCACTTGCAGGATGCTCTAATCCCTCCTATAAACTAGCACAGATAAGCTTTCAGGACCTCATTTGAATCTTGCTTGAGTTGTCTTTACATGAGCAGTTTTCAATGAAATACATTCAGTTTTATAATCATGTAAGAGAGTTCATACTGTTGTAGTTGTTTTTTTATCAAATTTCTGTATGAGCATCTAAAGAAATTTTCATTTTGAATTTAATTGAATTGCATTTTCAACAAGTACTTTAATTGCAGTTGTTGGCCTCTTTCTTTCTTTTTTTGGCACAGACCAAGAGCATATTCAGCATTGGTTTCTTGACCAACCGGATGTTTCTCTACGCAGTCGGAGGGTCAATCATGGGTCAGTTGCTGGTCATCTATTTCCCTCCGCTCCAAAGGATATTCCAAACAGAGGCATTGACGGTACACGGTGAGTCCGATTCTCAGATAACATGTCACCCTTGGGGACCTACCACCTAAGATAACCGCTCTCTGCAAGAGTGACCTCTATTAACTGCCCTTTAGAATCTCCTAGACTACATTTGTATCTGCTAGACAGCCCCCACCTAATTTCATTGTGTTATTAGATTATACAGGGAATTCCCCTAGGTAGTTTTCTTGGAGTGTTAAGGGTATACATATACATCATCACACATGTATAAAATTTGTCATCAATTAGAGTCACATAGAATCATATTCACACAGAAAAAAGGGGTTATCATAAGGACATTCATAAAAAAAAAATTTCGCACAATAAATGTACATATGTAAACAATGCATAGTGGAAAGCAAAAGGAAAACAATAAAATGAAATATTATTCTTTCTCCCTCCTTCACAGATATTGGCCTGTTGGTGATGCTGACGTCATCGGTGTTCATTGTTTCCGAGATCAAGAAATGGTTTCAGCGGAGACTAGAGAAAAAGCGAACTCTCCCCGAGCCGTGCGACTTTGAATATGTCTGACCGTAATTCTGTTCATGGGTGTGCTAATATGCTTGTGCGTGCGTGTGTGTGTGTTTTGGTTTTGACCAAACTCTTACATTTGATTAAAAACCAATTCAGTCCATTATCGTTTATCTACTGCAATTCTACATATAAAATATACATGACTTATAATTGGCTTTCATGGGTTGTACCTGCAAGGAACATGTATAGAATGTTGAAATCAAAAGCATTTCACTTAGAAATGTAATATTGAAATGCACTTTTTACATAGAATGTTATCAAAGCAATGGCATATAGTATTGCAATCACCAATATGAAAATAAAGACGTATTGAAACGTATGTTTAAAGCACTTTTGGGAAGACATATTAAAGCGTATGTTTATTAACAGCATTTTTGGCGAGTCTTGTGTTCATGTTTAGAAAAATAGTATTCAGGTGTTTCATTTTTGTGGTTGTTGTGTCTTTTAATTCTATGGACTGTTTTGAACAACATGCAATGTAATGCAAGCATAAACATGTTTTGTGATACATCATTTCACAATTTAGATATACTTTCATGGAAAATCACCCGATTCATTATATTTCCTGACTGCTAAGAAAGCAAATAATATGCTTTAATTTTAGCAACTAGTGGGCATAAGATAATGCCTTTTAAAACTTTTTAGAACATTCAAATTAATTGGTTGAAGCAGATTAAGAGAAAGAAAGATTTGATATTTAAAGGCTCATAGAGAATTCAAATGGGTGTTAACTCTGAATCTTGATTATAGTGCAATTTGAGTATAAATATCACATCTAAATATATGAATCTTTTATTTTGAAGAAAGGATGCTTGCATGGAAAACCACATATAATTAAAATTGCCCTTTAAAGGCATTGTTTAACAATATTTCCAGTTTTACAAATCTAAGATACATGGCCCTACATGTTATCAGTGTCTGTGATATGGTGTAATATTGAAGCCCTTAAAAAAAATCATGAATTGCTTTAAAAAATTAAAAATCTTTGAGAGACCGGTTTTACCATACTCATTTTCCCAATAGACTGTAGTGATATAAAAAAAAATTAAAAACGGGGAAGCGGTTTTTTGAAATTTCGAATTCAAGTCATAAATATCTTGATAATCAAGTATGCGATTGGCTTGTAAAATTCATGGGATTCATGTCTGACCTTAAGGTTTACACTTATGATTGCAGCACAAGCTAAATCTAGGATTTTCTTTAGCATCAGAGGCAAAAATTCCTAATACCTTTAAAGACACTTCCATTTTGGTGCAATGAATCAGTTTGATTGTAACACACTGTGAGTAGTTCCCATAGCTCACACAATAACATAATATTGTCACACCCGGTTTTAATAGGGACATCTAAATACATGTATTGTCAAAAGATGATCGGTTTGTTTAGCAGATTTTGTATTTGTCACCAAATGCTTATTACTTTCACAGTACGTTTCCTTTTGCACAATGTGTTATCTTTCAAGCTTTGTATTTATTTGTATGTCAATTCAGGAGTCTTTTTTATGTGTGATATTTCTGCATATATATATATTTTTTTTAATAGAGGGTTGTTTTCTAGATGAGGATTGCAATTGATAGTGTTAATGTATGGATTTATATCTAAATATTTTGTTCCAATCCTAAATTTACAGCAAAATTTAAGTTGTTACAATTTCGAATGTCCATAGAGACAAAATATCTCAGTGAAATAATGTGCATATTTTAAAGTTTGAGAATTTATTGTATATTTTGTGGGGAGGGGGTAACATTGTGTAAGTCCAACTTTTAACCTTATAATGCAGCCTTTTGCATTTTTGATTATCTAAATAATTGTTAATGGGGGAAAACTTGTTGGTCATCTCATACTTCGCACAATATTTTTATTTTTGAATGGAAAACAAAAGTGCCTATTTTTGTCAGCTTCTACTGGAGCATGTTTTGTAAACTTGTCTTTTTAAAGCAAGGATGCATGCCCTAAGAAGGAAAGTGAAAAATAAATTGCACTATGTCATATGTTGTACCATTTAAATGCTACTGCACAAATATATTAGAGTCAACTTTATCCCAATAATTTGTAAACAATGATACTTTTTGTATTTACATGTAATATATTTGCCTTTTTGTAATTAGAAAGGAAAGTAATATTTGTATAATTTTGCAGAGAATTTTTATTTGATGGTTTCACATGTACATGTAGGAAATTTCCAATGAGTACTGTATGTCTTATCTACTGATGACAACATTAATGAGATAGTATGATTGTATTTCATAGTCATATTGCTATAAAATGATACTGGGATTATTCTTACTTCATCATGAGTTGTCAATTTATGACTGAAATCAGAGAAATAGGTCAGTTATGATAAAGCTTAGAATGGACTTCTTCACTAGTACAATCATCTCCCAGAAATATTCTTGCCAAATAAATGTTTCGATGTGGCATGTTTGATCAAGAATTTGAGTATTCAGGGTCACCAATCTTTCCCAGTAGCTATTTCTAACCCTCAACTAGATTAACAAGCTTCGTGAATATTCAACATTTATAACAATTACAGAAGTTGTAGAGATTGCTGCTATAAAATCAATAATGTACTTACAATACTTCATTTATGCATCCTTAAAATTCATTGTAATATCGGGTGTTTTTGTAAGTTTTTTGTAAGGTTGCAAATTTGAGTGTGTAAGTTTGTAACATTGTCTTCATATTCATCTGAGAATGCCCTACGATCAAATTATTAAATATTTTTTTGATCCTCCAAAAATTGGGGCAATATTTGTTTTAAGGGACAGAAATGTCACAAAATAATGTATAAAATCATTGTGGTTTGCCTAAAAAACAAAGATTTCTGTATTGGCATGAGCATTACATCTTTACCATATGCACTAGACCTATATCCATGTGATATGATTAAGACTGAGATGTATATATTACTCTCTTCTGTTGAACTGCTTCAATCATACGGTCTATTGTCAACTGCCATTCATGCTGGTTATATTGGTTATTTTTTATAATTATGTTGAATCTTGTATGAATATTAAATAAGAATATAGATATTTCTTTGAATGCGAGTTATTATTCTGTTACTACATGAATTGACACAAGTTCACTTGTGCTTACAATGTACAACAGAAGAAAAAAAATACAGAGAGTAAAGATATCAACTGCTATCATTTAATAATAAATTTTAAAATACCTTTTATATTTAATAGTTACAGACATATTTCATCACACACAATAGTTACAGACACATCACAATAAAGCAGACACAAGTTCGTTACCTCCATAATGTACCTAATTTATCCTAAAGTGCTAAATTACAGGTGAAAGACATCTGAATATGAAGGATTAAAAGGAAAGTAATTGATTTTTATTACATAATGAAGATCAATGAAAGTTTAAAGTAGAATGAACTGTTTCAACAACAAACAAAAACCTACAATACAAAAGATATACTCGAACCTTTCAGATACTGAACTGTATTGCTATTAATATGATTGGAAATAATTATTTCACCTTATAAATACATGTATCAAGACTAGAACTCTTCTTTACAACTGAGCTTCAAAATAATTTTAAGTACTGGTTTGATATTGATGGATACGAAATCGATTATTCTAACAATTTATTTACCAAGACTATTTTCTGACGTAATAATTAAAACCTTTCATACTTTTACATTGTATGAGCCATTCCACATCAAAACTATATTAAAGGTAAAATAAAGAATCACACTCTGCTACCATTATCTTTAATCTTTAAAGCACGTAGATCTAGTTTCTTGAAGCAAGAGCACTTGTTAGTTTCACATATACCTATACATATCGATACGCTACTTTAGAAGTGAAATAATTATTTGTGCAGTATTGCGATGTAAATACATTTTGTGCAATAAAAGACATACCTAATACACACTGGCGTTATCAATCCTAGTGTATTTCGAAATATTTACAAACGAGTACTATCAAAGTCAGATTTGTGCTTTACAGTTGCATCTGTATAGTACAAATCATAGAAAGCTAGACTAGAGTATCATACTGGCCCCCAAACCATACAAATAATATAAATATATATCAAACATATTAAAGGTATATATATATATATATATATACATGTATATGTCATACAAAAATCTTATTTTAAACATGCACTTGTAATAATTTTTTATACAAAGAAATGCATGATAGGAAATTGATTTAAGCTACACTAGGCAAGGATGACTTTAAAGTATTAACTGACATTGCTCCCAACTGGCCATTAGCAACTAAACTCTAGCAATTTAATTGGAGCACCCTGGTTTGAAAAGACTACCTACCGGTATATGATAAAGTTGTGTATCAAATGTCACTTGCAGATGGTCCTCTTTATTTTTGTTCAAGATACCCATGTATGTAAACCATCAAAAGATAGAATGAATTCCTATCAAGGGTCATCAAAATAATCAAAACAAAAAGTTAATGTGTATTGCTGCATATAATACAAAAAAGTGAAGTCTCAGACTACAAGATACATGTAACTTCATTTGCATATTTCTAAGTATAAGCTCCAGAATGCAACATTATTGAAACGTACTTTGGAGTATAAACACATCGTCACTGTTTTCACGAAGTGACGGTAGTGAAAAAAAATTGCATTCACTTTGCGTGACGATTTTCCTCACTACCGTCACTTCGTGAAAATAGGGACGACATGTACATAGTTTACCGGTATTTCTATTCAACTATTCTACATAAACTTACATGAATATTTCAAGTTATGTGTCAAAATTCCGGCCTGTTTTTACATATAACAATTTGGTCTTCTGTCCACTGTATGAAGATAAATATGTTTTACACACAGGATATAGATACAAATCATAAAACAAAGGGGCAATTATAGTGCATATATGATTTTGTAATATCCCTACTTTTGTATACCATTAATACTTTAATTTTGTCTACAATGTTTAGCAATCTCTCTGATTTATATCACGTACCGGTATTTCAAAAATGCCCTTTAGATATTCCATAATTTACAGATATACCGGTAAGGAGGAATATAATGACTGCTCAGTGTGAAGTATCATTCACTTTTTCTTTCATTTAATGCTGTTGATAATCAAAATATGCTGATGGCGTTTTTTTCGTATGCTCACCAACATTTAATCTTGTGTCATGATCCATTTAGCTGCAATAAAGAAAGGGAGGAAAGAAATTATAAAATAATGATAACTTACTAATTAATGAGGATACCAGAAAGCTAGCAAGATTTCTTTGTACCATTGTATTTGAAAACAAAACCCTCGCTATGTAATTGCATGTTAACACTTTAACAGTTAAAATTTGACAGTCAGACAGTCAAAAAGAAAAGAAGAAAATTGTATACACACGGGATGCTGTAGAAAGAAATAGAAACAAACTAGTGGCAAACAGGGTTGGTAGGTTAGAGATCTAGACAGATCAAACTTGAAACAAGTTTAATTTTAATAGAGCTGTACAAAAAAACAAGAGAAGATATACTGTATCCATGATCATCACATCAACTCACCTGGTATGGCCATGGATGTAAGCTGCTCCGGTCGATCCAATAGATCCACATTCTCACGACGGAATGTCTTAGAAGCATTACTTGCAAAATGGCTGCCAATGTGATAATGTAAAATTGAAAAGAAATCATGTATAATCTGTGGAGGATAGGATATTACTGCCTTTTTGACCGATTCAATTCCGTTACTCTTCGAGCAGTACAATATACCTTCAACTGCTCAAATTTTCATCATTTTGACATTTTAGATCAGTGGCTATCTAAAAAAAAAATTAGAACAATACAGGATAAGTTAACATCTGTTTGTCAGACTCCACTTGTAGAAAGAGATATGTACATCTCTTATTTCAATGCAAATATCCATTGGCTTACCTGTTTATATGCATGCATGCATACATGGATGAGCGCATAAGCATGTTGCACATGCTTTTTGCTTGCTCTCCAAAAGAGCTCTTATTTGCCTGTATTTACTTTGTTATATCAATTTGTGTTGTTACCAGTAATTTATATATGCCTTCTGGATACCACTAGTCAAATTGTGATTTCACACCATATTTTGATGACAACATTTTTTTGATTCATGTGTAGTCTAGTATTTTGTATATAGTCGTCGGGGACATTTTCTACGAACACTCCCTCTGTTCCCCAACATTTAGGAGTGTCAATTTCTACAATTCTTCTTCAACGTGTTACACTCGACATTGTATATTGATCAACACACATCGCGATCGCCATTGTCATCTTCATACTACATATATAGGATCACTCTCAAGTTTCTACACAACAAAAGACAGTGGTGAGTAAAAGTCTAGCTCGTACTCATTATAGTCAGCATAGAATTTTTACATTGGTGACCCCGACGTGATATGTGAAGGCAGGTGCCAAAATGTGTCAAGAATGTGAAACATACGACGTCGCAGGAAAACTGCATAAATTATCAGCGTAAATTTCTCAAAAGTTGTCGGCACAACAAGGCAATATCAAAACATTACATAAAGTTCGTTGACACTATAATGGAGCATAAATTCACTACAGTAGTACCAGCTAAGAAGCCATTTTCAATGTACATCTCTATGTAAGTAAAAGTACCCTGGTACTCTATTATGTAATGTATATGCCTATTATGTATTGTATGCCTGGACGAACATGAATCACTGGATTCACTACCAAGCACAATGGGACCGTTTCAACTTGGACTTTTGTTCACACTCTGCCTGTATGCTACTTTGAATAGGAATGTGTACTGCAGTGAGCAATCCTTCATTAAACTGTCAATTAATGAAAACTTCATTAGAAAACAATATCTTAAAACGAGGATTCCATACAACCCGAATAGTACAGCATCTTTTCAACTAGAGCTACTGCATGCGGGTGATGTACATCCCAACCCCGGACCAGATCGGGATCAAGATGGCACTGTACCATCTTTTGCCATTCATCGTGACCCTCCCCTTCAGCGTAGAATTCACTACTCTCCAGGGGAACTGTTACAGTGGAGATCTACAAAGCTTCGACTGTCGTCCGACGTTCGCGATGTCATCCATTCTTTCGGAATACAACGAAGAAAGACAAGGAGAGGTAGGCGCGGTAGCCGCAGAAGAAACTGTCTCCGACAATCAAAAGTGTCAAGATCATCATCATCATCATCATCATCTCCAAACCTTTTACTTTGTTCCATGAACGTTCGCTCAGTGCGCAATAAATCAGCCCTGATCCACGACTTCATCTGCGACAGTAATGCTGATCTTATTACAATGACAGAAACCTGGCTAACGGACAATGACTCTACAGTCCTAAATGAATTTGTTCCTTCTGGCTATAAATTAGTTCATCATCCTCGTAGTATCCGCCGTGGAGGGGGAACTGGACTTGTCTACAGAGATACCATCAATGCTCTTCAAGCCACAGCTGGTGAGCATAACTCTTTCGAGTATGCAGAGTACCAAATTTCATGTAAATCCTATCAGTTATGTGTCATTAATATATACAGACCGCCTTACTCTGCATTACATCCTGTATCTGTATCATGTTTTCTATCAGAATTCAATGATTATATTCAAAGTCATTGATTGTCCAATGTTCCTTTATTAATAGTTGGAGATTTCAACATACATGTCGATAGTTCTAGTGGAGACTCACAGTCTTTCCTAAATCTTCTTGAGTCTCTGTGTTGTACACAGTTAGTTAATTTTTGTACCCACATACACGGCCACACTCTTGATCTGTTAATAAGACGACAATCTGATGATAACATTGTCATTGGAAAACCTCAGGCACATTCATCTTTAATCTCTGATCACATCCCTGTAATGTGTTACCTTAATTCAAGTAAACCTCGCCTTCCTGTTAAAGAGGTTTCATTTCGCAGATTATCTGCAATCAATACTGAGTTACTTAGAAAAGACTTAACTGAAAGTCGTCTCTGTGATGGAACACCCAGTGATGTCACTGAATTAGCGATGTTATATGACACAACTCTCCATGACCTCTTAGACAAGCATGCGCCAAAGGCAACAAAAACTTTTGTTTTGCGACCTAAGGCGCCATGGTTGACCGATAGTATATTAGAAGAAAAGAGAAAAAAGAGGAAAGCTGAAAAAATTTGGATGAAATCAAAAACAGACAAAGACTGGAAAGCATTTAAGTCAATTCGTAACTCTTACTCCTTCTCATTGTATGAGGCACGGAAGAGTCACCATAAAGATTTAGTGTCTGAACATAAAGAAAACACAAAAGCTTTGTTCAATATTGTAAAGGGTTTGCTAAACATGTCAAATAAACAACCCATTGTACCTTGTAACGTTGATTCAAAATCATTTGTCAACAAAGTTCAGAAAATTCATAACGATATAGATTTAAAACTTGGCAATGTACACGTAGACAAACTGATCAATGATGACGTTCCAGTCGATTCGCAGATAGTGACGCTGACAAGTTTTAAATCACTGTCCGAACAAGACGTCGGAAAATTGATAATGAAGCTCAGTAAGAAGTCTTGTCCATTGGACCCAATGCCCACAAAACTATTGCTGCGATGTCTCGATGAATTGATACCTGTTATTACTTCTATGTTGAACTTGTCTCTATCAGCAGGGCAATTCCCTGCATTGTGGAAGGTCGCTCTAGTGAAACCACTATTGAAAAAGCCGGGCCTCGAAACAGAATTGAGTAATTTAAGGCCCATTAGTAATCTTCAGTATATTTCTAAGTTGGTAGAAGGTGCTGCTACCCAACAGATTCTTGAGCACATTGAACATCATTCACTGTTGCCGCTCAATCAATCAGCATACCGAAAATTTCACAGTACTGAAACAGCACTTCTTAGGATAAAAAGTGATCTTCTTATGTCAATGGACAACCAAAAAATAAGTCTGCTGCTTCTCCTTGATATGAGCAGTGCTTTCGACACAATAGATCACTCATTTTTACTGAAAACTCTAAGAAGCCATTTTAGGGTTGATGGCAAGGTTATCGAATGGATTGAATCTTACTTGTCAGATAGAAAACAGAAAATTGAAATTGATAAAGTTGTCTCTGATGTATTCAATGTGCCTTTTGGCGTTCCTCAAGGGTCGCGATTAGGCCCTCTGTTGTTTACCTTGTATACAAGCAGACTCCTTACAAATATCCATACAGAGTTTCCTAGTATTAGTTGTCACTGCTACGCAGACGACACCCAACTATACCTATCTTTCTGTCCTAACACCCCGGCTGAAGATCATTGTATTTCTGAATTAGAATCATGTGTTGTTTATATTAAGATTTGGATGTTGCAAAACAAGTTGATGTTAAATGATAACAAAACAGAACTTTTGGTCATTGGTACTCCACGCCAGGTTTCTAAATTTAGGTCGCGTAGTGTATCAGTTGGTGACTCAACCATAACCCCATCTGATACTGTTAGAAACTTAGGTGTGTCTTTTGATACCCACCTGAATATGGATTCACATATCACTAAAATATGCAAATCAGCCTATTTCATGATTTATAATTTGAGATGCATTCGAAAATACTTTGATCAGGACAGCATGAAAACTATCATGCATGCATGTGTTACTAGTAAACTAGATTACTGTAATAGTTTATTGTATGGATTGCCAGACTCACAAATTTCCAAGTTGCAGCGGGTCCAAAATACATGTGCACGACTAATTTGCAGCCTCCCAAAATTCTCTCGAATAACCCCACTTCTGAAGGAACTACATTGGTTGCCAATTCGCCAGAGAATTACATTTAAAATATTAATGATAGTCTACAAAGCTCTAAATGGTCAAACTCCTAGTTACGTTACTGAATTGTTGCACATCAAGTCTCAAACTCATGGTCGTAACCTTCGTAGTACACAAGACACATTTATGTTGCAAATACCCCCATATAAAACCAAAGTAACCCTCGGGGACCGGTCATTTCTCTGTGCTGCCCCTAGATTATGGAATAAATTACCACTAGAAATAAGGAAAGCCCCATCACTAGATAATTTTAAATCAAAACTGAAAACTCACTTGTTCATATAGTATGTATAGCACAGCATTTACGAGCTCTTGCAGCGCAATAGAATATATCCACATAGTTATTGCGCTTTACAAATGAATATTATTATTATTATTATTAGTGCAGTGGCGCTTTGAGGGGTACTGGTAGTTGTTTAAGAGTAATTGTCTTGGGAAATAGTTGTCCAAAGGGTAATAATCTAGGTTTAATCTAATTCAACTGTACTCACGTTTTCCAGTCTTCCTCTGTCCCCCAGATCTCATAGATGACATAATGTGAGGTTCCAGCGAAGGCCCTTACACTCACACTGTCATGGAAACAGAGAACATCAGTGAGAGACAGAGACCTTCATAATGCAACTAAAAGCTCCATTTCTCTCCAATAAAATATCCTGCTTAAAAATTCATTTGCACTTTCACAGCTATTTCTAAAGCAAGCTATAGAGCTAATTTATCAATGTCATGTATTAATACCTATGACAAGGTTATTTTACCATGCAATCAAAATGCATATTTTGCCCAGTCCGGAAACTAGCAGTTCCAAGCGGGCAATATTTATATAATATTGGATGGCTTTGAGTGTGATACAAGCATATATTGCTCAAGCTATGACAATATATTCTTGTATCACACAAAAACAAAGCCATATAATATTATATATATATATTATATGTATGACTGAGCAATACGAAAACAATATTGATCAGTCATCCAGGGCTGCGCTAAAGATATTAAATGCACTGATTTATTGTACCACTAGGAACCCTAATATAGAAAATATTCCCTGATATTTGCACTATTCCAGGCTACGCCATTGACTTTGTGGACAAAAATTGTGATCAATATTGAGCTCACTACGTACTGGCTCCCATTAACATCCGGGACCTTCCAAGTAGCTGAATCGCCACAAATTTTGATCAGATGATCGTGCAGCGCGGAAGCAGGGTATAGTTACTGTACAGTATAGGCCTATCCTTTCCTGATTTACAAAAGGATAGATAATAATTATGATATTGACTGGCTAATCTTTCGGGAGATACAAGGATATATTGCCCTTACTGGTATCTCCCTAAAGGCCACTCAATATTATATAAATATTTTCTTCCTAAATACAGTTGGAGAGAATACCAGTGGTATTGCAGTACACAACACTGGTCATGGTCATGAACTGTTACAATCCATTTAGCTTGACCGAAAATTCCTTGTAGCTTTAAGAACTATCCTGAAATTCCAAAGTATGTTTATATTAATTTAAGGTAACACTAACCCTTGAGGTAAAATGCTAATTGTACCGACTACATGTACCACCTATAAACCCTCCATCAAAATAAATCTTCAAGGATAGAAAATAATCTTCCAATATGGAATTAATCTAAGACCTCTGCTTCACATTATAGCAAATTTAAATATCTAGGAAGTATAATATAAGTATAATGTAGTCCTAATAATGATCATCAAATACAAACAACCCATCCATAAACAATGAATATTCAATCAAAAGAATTTGTGCATAATTTTATATTAGTATGTGTAATATTAACCACTGATATTCCCATATAAATCTCATCAAACTGATGCAATTATGTAAATTACCAACTGGTACAATATGAAATCATTTGTAAACATCCAGTTGTTACATGTATAATGTGATCACAAAAACAAGTAAAATATATCAATTTCACTATCATTATACTTCCCGACAATACTACAATGAAAGAGTAAAACTTGTCCACTTGAAAACAAAACTTGAGAGTAATTTTGTTTGAATTCTTACGTAGTGCATCCGTCAACTTTCCCTGCTGCATCGACATAAGTCCTAAGGTTGCTGCGAAAATCCTTGTCCTTTTCATCAATGGCTGTAAACTTCCTGCTCACCAAGAAAGCCTGTTAAAAAGAGCAAGGATATAAGCATTTACAGATACTTATATCAAATCATGATTGGGAACAAAATCAATCCTTTAAAAGAAGTAAATGTTGATAGAGTACTGGTCCCGTAATCCGGTGACCCGGGCTCGAAACCAAATCAGTGCGCTTGTGCCCACTGGTAAGGCATTAATCCTCCTTACCAGGTCCCTTGGAGAGGACCTAAAGCCGTCGGTCTTCTGGTTGCTTACAAACAAGCATTAATTGCTTTCTTAGCTGTCAGGTAAAATAACCACCACTATATCAAATTTATCAGAAGTGTATACTCAGATGTTGTGTGTCCAGACAGGTTGTGTATCCGGACAGTTGATTTAGAACAGCAATTTGAAGAAGCTAGTATACAATCAAAATTTTATAAATATTCTACGACTTATGTTGGACAATATAATAAAGGACAAATATCCATGATGGATAGTGCTATTTGATGAATATGTTTCGTTAAATTTGAAGGCAAACAGAAGGCTGTAAGCATTCAGACACCCAACCCCCATCATCTATATGTATTGGTGGATACATTACACAATACATGTAGCTAGTGTGGGGTTGAATCCATAGATTTAAGTTACATACATGTACAAAGGTAGGTAGAAGACTTCTGTCAGAATACTGTAATGGATTTGGTAAATCAATTCAAATTAGCAAGTTTAACAGCCGAATTAATCATGTGACAAATATATTTAAAAGGCAACCATTCCTATTGACTGCAGTAGAGTTACAATATGGAATTTTACTGTAATATAGCAACTGTAAGACCCATGTCTCACATAGGGGTGACCTGCAGTTTGGTCTACGACCAGTTTGTCTACTACCCAATTAGTCTATTGCCATATGGTCTACACCCGGCCTGTCTACTATCCACATGGTCTAATAATCATTTGATGATTATTGTCACATATGATTAAATGATTATTAGACCGTATGGATAGTAAACAAAATGGGCATTAGACAGACTGGGAATTAGACTAAACGAGCAATAGACTATATGGGTAGTAGACTTATTGGAGATTAGACCAAATGGCAATTAACCAACCCCATATAATTATTTAAGCATCTTCATCTTCTGGTATTCTTCAAAAGGCTATGTAGCCTAGCTATCTAGTGTTTATTCTATTAATTAAAATCAATACTATGATATTGATAAAGAAGTTTTTATTCATAACAAATTGCTCGTACCAAGTTGGCCTTGCTTTCATCAGATACAATTTCCTCATCCACAGGATTGATCTTGACCTTTTGCTCTAGGCGGGTCAAAAGGCAAGCCAGACGATTGACCTCTGAGGTCAGAGAGCTAATACCTGAAAATGAAGGGGAAAACATTTTTCATAAAGAGTCAATATTTTGTGTAAACAAGAATTGTTAGAGATTACACTGATTATCATTGGTGTGTAAAAAGAGGAGTTTTTACTCTCGTTTATAATTTTATCTTTAAAAAAAAAATGATAATAAATATTTCACATGTGTGCTTGTAACTTGTGTTCTCAAGTCTCAACTGAAACCCAGGGATCATGAAAACCAACGGAAGTAGACCATATGTAGAGCACCTTAGATAAATGACATGCACAAATTCTATGGGATCACTCAAAAAATTGTTTAAAATAAGATGACTCTAAAGCAATAAATAATTAAAGAGAAAACAAAACTGTTAAATATAACAAATATTTTGATAATTGGTTACAGAAACAGAATCTTTGTAATAGTTTGATCACTTTACACTCGATGAGATGAATGAAGAAACATCTATAAGTAAACATAAATCTGTTAACAATGGCACAGCCATATAAGTTATTTCAATTTCAGTCCTAATATTGCCAAGGGTGTCAACAGGTTCTAAAAAGTGGTGACACTTTGAGATAGGAGCGACTGAGGGGGGCACTGGGGGGGCACCTACCATCAGCTGGTACACTGGTCTGAGTGGATAGTTGACGTCTGGCCCTCCTGGCCACCCATCCTGCTGATGAACTGACCACTGGCTCAATGATGGCTACTTGAGATATTGGTGCCCTGCAAAGAATATAGAAATCACAGAATACGTGTCTCTTAATTTGACCTAAAGCACAAACAAATCACAAAGCTAGACTCAAGCTTGCCATAGCTAGTGGCCACTTCTGTAGAAAGACCAATATCAAATGCAGCAATTTGTATCTTTTTCTTTTTTACACTGTACATGTATATAGTAAATTGCAAACAATAGCCATCACCCAACATCTACTAAAATCTGGTCATGCCAGAGCTCCTAAATGTGAGTTCATTGGTTGGACAATGGGTTAGCTAGAGCACATTTTAAATTTTACTTGCCATATATTTGGTATTATACAACGCCTACTAAGATTCTTGCAACCTCATTGGTCAATTATTGATCACATGACATGCGCTAAAAGTACTGTTGAACAGCATCATTCTTCAGCCGTGCAATTCCGTTTGATCCTTTCGCACCATTGCACGCTGACGTCATTAACGATGTACAAAGTATATGGTGAGGTAAGTGACGTCGCCGTGCAATGGTACCAATGGATCAAACGAAATTGCACTCCACGTCACATTAAACATATAGGTTGGTAAGCGTGGCGCATGGTACGCCCATGGTTTGCTGCCTGCTTAATAGTGCGCGCTCACTATCGGCAATTTCATAAATTGAAAACAAACAAAAATTCGCTGAGATTAAGGCCTAGGAAAACTGTTTTCAGCCTGTTAATGTCCGAGGTGTTGTATAAAACAAATAGTGAATGGTCTTTATTCGTGCAATGGAACAATATTTTGCATTCGGTGAAAGATGAGACGCTCTATTCAACTCGGCTGCACCTCGTTGAATAGAACGTCTCTTATCTTTCACCTCATGCAAAATCTTGTACCATCATGCACTCATGGCCATTCACTATTTGTATAATATACACATACTATCCAATGCTTATTTCCTAGATTTGTACTTTTTTTCCCCACAATTATGACTGCACACACGAGAGACTGGTTCTAGATATGAAACTGATTTTGTCTAATAACCTGTCTGTCATTGCTTCTCTCTCCATGTGATCTGAGGCTGCATCAATGTTTCTCATCAATGACGACAGCTGCCCCGACACCTCCTTCAGCAGGACGCGCACAGTGAACTGATCATCAAAAGACTTATCAGGATATACCTTCAAAATAGTTGAGAATTCGTATCAACAAATCCTTTAATCGGTTGTGTTCCTTTTTTTCTTAAAATTTCACAATGAAAATATGGTGAACAGATCATCAAAGTTGGTAAATTTAATGAATACTGATTAAAATCACTGATCTTAAGCATGGCTTCTTTCTTTCTATCATTATTCTTTTTAAATAATGTTCATTATTAAATAGTTTAAATCATCAACCCTACCATGAACAGGCAATTTTTAAAAGATGGGGGGGGGGGGGGGGGGGGGGTAACAAAAGGAGGTAAAACAAAAAAACACAGGTGTGGACAACAAAGTCCCTCATGCATACTCCCTGATATATAAGCAACATAATGCATCAGCATTTATCAGGCCAATATATCTGATTGTATTTTGATTTTTCCTCATTTCTTTGTATGCATGTTGTATGAATTAAATCCTCCAGACCCACCTGTGATGTTTGCTGTAGTGCTGAGGAAACAAATACTGACATGTCCTCCACTCCCCCAAAGATCTCTTTGAATGGTCCCAGGTGAGCTGAGAAATATTCTGAAGATCGAAGGTGGAAAAAATTGGCAAACATAAAAACACCAAGAAGCAGGAGGATTACTCAGTACTAGGGCCCGATAATCGGGAAAAATATGAATCTGGCTGAATCAACAAATTTTTAAATAGTCTACTCATACTTTGTTTTATCAATTGCTCTTTTTGTGCAATGTTCAAAACTGTCCCTAAACATACTTAGATAAATTTTGAAGACTAAATAAGAAGATAAGATAACGGGGTGCTTTTTTCAGGAAAAAAGAGACATCATTAACTACGTGTTGTTTTTAGCAAAATTAAAACATTGAACCCTTTGTAATCACTAGATTAAGCAAGAATGGTTGTGAAAATATTAAATGCATTTTTTCCCTGACGGGTCCATATTTCTTCAGTACATGTTACTGAAGCCAAGTGATGTATGATTCCCAAGATGCAATCACAATTTGCTTTGATGGCAATGACAAGAAATTTCTATAGCTTTAATTCATCACAATTAATGATCACAAGTACAAGCAACAGCATTCTTATCATCAATAAATCTAGCTATTATCATTCTTGTTTTCTGTTGTCACAAGGCAATTTTCGATGGTATAATCAAATTGTATTCAACATACAGTATTAAAACAAAACAAATACTAAAATACCTGTGACAGTGACGGTCGTGTGTATCTAATTAATCTCCTCTTCACCCGAGAGAATTATGCTCATGCGCATAATTAACATACATGAATATTTATAAGGTTGGTAACACTGTTCCTTACCACAGAGCTCCCCGACATCAATGTTGTTGGTGTTGTGTGTGTCTATCTTATTGAATAACTCTTCCAGCTCATCTGCAGTCAGTATGCCATCCCCGAAGTAAGATTTGAATTCCTCCAGCGAGAGGCAATTATCATCTACACAAGTGCAACACAGAACAGAGAAGTATTGTAGAAGAGAGGTAATAATAATAATAATGATGATGATGATGATGATGATGATGATGATGATGATGATGATGATGATGATGATGATGATGATGATGATGATGATGATGATGATGATGATGATGATGATGATAATAATAATAATAATAATAATCAATAATAATAATAATAAAAATAACAACAACAGGAATAATAATAATAATAATACAGTAGGCTTGCAGTGTGCACCATGTGAAAGAGGGGGGGGGGGGGAGTTGGGGAGTCCTGAAAAGGACTCTCAGTAATCTTTCTTTCTTGAGTGTGTGTAGTCCTGAAAAGGACTGTTGGTATAGTCTTGAAAAAGACTGTTGGTTATCTTTCTTAGCTTATAATTCTAAGGAGAACTATAGCACAGGTTGGAGGATGGGTGGTACTAGAGTGGCTCTACATTTCAAACAGGTTGACTATCCGTCGTCAGGAGTGATGATAATAGTAATAATATTAATAAAAATAAATAAAAGATAATTATAATACAATCCACATATACATTTTGCATAACATGTAAAAGTTTCTCTATGCACTACACAACCAAATGTAAAAGATGACAAACCTAGAGTGCACACACTAGTAAAAGCTCATTGTCATTTAAGAATTGTCATATGCCTTCATGTTTGCAAAATCAGCTAGAGCTTATCCCATTTTATGGAGAGAAATGATGATATGCAAAGGATGGACATAAAAAATTGGACTATTTTATGATTATTTTAGCTTTAAATTTTAAATATTGTACAATGCACTTATCAGTAGTGTTTATGAATCACAAGTGCTTCTTATATATATGTAATGCATTTATAAATTGGTAAGAAAAATCAAAATATGTAGATATAGTTATTCTTACAGTACACAGATTCATGATGCAGTTTTTATCAATAGAAAACATTCAAGCTCTTGAATTAAGGGAAACAATATTGCCATTTTCAAAATTCTTGTTATGGCCCTCATAATTCTTCCATTTGCTTCATAAGCTAACATGAGAATGCAAAAAAAGGGCAAAAAATAATGATTTATATTATCTTCCCATGTCTCACTTTTCATGCAGTATCGCGAATTAAGAATTCTTACCATTTTTATCAGCCCTTCTGAACACCTGCAAAAAAAAGAACAGAAATGTGATTATAACATGAGTAGCTTATTTTCCTTCAATATCATCAATAAGACAATAGCATACATTTATAGTCAATATCAATAATGCAAAATAGGTCTACATTTAATATTTGTTAAACCAATAGTTCCTATCCACTGCTGCTCAATAAGTCTTCTTGCAAACTGCAAATTTGTATTGGCGAAAGCGAGAATTGTCGGATACAAGACAAATTATAGCAATCTGGCAATAGGATCGATAGATACTGAATCTGGACTTTAAAAACTCTATATTTGTTCATGTTTTGTAATACTAGGGTGTCTGATCGCGCACCTGGTTTTGTGTGCTAAAATCCTTCCCATAAAGACTTATTACCAAAATGAGATTCAAACCAATATAGCTCATGATCCTGAAGGTGATACTCAATAAGTGAGGTGTCATATGAAAGAGCAGGTTTTTCTCCATATTCCCCATAGGGGCCCATCCCCAAAATTCTAAAAATATCTTATTCAAAACAGCGATTTAAACATTGTTTCCATGGTAACTCGGAGATTTACCAATTCCATGAAGTGCTCCCCCGAGGGATAAGTTGGCCAGCTGTAAAGAATATATCCATGCACTTATTTTTTCTCTAGTCCCAAGGAATCACAAGCAGTTTAGGTTTGAAAATACCGTTACTCCACGCTTTGCATATCATGCATGAACCACTTTTTTGTCCATTCTGACCAAAATGCTATGAATATTGCAGTTTTTGAGGGGCTGTATCTTTTGATAAAAACATCGCATCGGACTTCGGTGAGTCTTGAAATATGAAAGGTATTATTCTGATTACATTTTTTATTCCACTATCCAACGAAAATGGTGAAAAACGATCCCAAATTGAAAATTGAAAAATCGTTTAGACACCCTAGAATACTGAAAGTTACCATAAAGTCTTGAATACATAACAACAAAAAGCAACTATGAAAAGTAAAACAGACTAGATCTAGTCTACAATAGTACACGTAAACTAGATCGAAACTAAAGCCTATGTAATAATGTATCTCTAACTCCAGGGAGCTCCGCCGCCGAAAACGCCTTTGGCGGCACGGCGGAGCTCCCTTTACTTTTAGTTAATGTATCTCAGCTCAGGTTCTACCCAAACAAACACAAAAGAATGCATGTAGGACTGAAGCCAGTATCAGAAGCTAAACTTCATGCCATTTTTACAGTTTTTATGGAAAAGCTCAAGTTAAAAAATTTCTCAATATCAGCTAGACTTTTATACTTACATCTTGGAAAACAGTCATCCCTTTCTCCATGATGACAATGAAATGAAATACGAAGGATTAGCAGCACGAATTTGTTGTGGTGGAAACTGAACAAAAAATAAAATTGAATGACACAAAAAGGGGCGTGGTCCGGGGTGATCCCATATACACGGCCAAGCCAGTCGATAATTGCGCCTGCCGCCTGCCAGGCCGCGCAAGTTGGGGTCCTTGCGGTTCAGTGGCCGCATGTTAAAAGTTGTACCAATTTAATAATAATAATAATTCTGACAATGGAAATAAAAAGAACTTAGAAGAATTAAGAATGATAATAGTAATAATAACAATAATAATATTGATAATAATAATTATAATAACGATTAAATGATAATACTACTACCAGTGGCGGATCCAGGGGGGGGGGGGCACAGGGGCACGTGCCCCCCCCCCCCCCCCCCCCCCCGGCCAAAAAAAAAAGAAAAGGAGAAGAAGCAGGGGGAAAGAAAAAGGAGAGGAAAAAGAAAAAAAGGGAAGAGAGAAAGAAGAAGAAAAGAGGGAGGAAAGAAAAGGGAGAGGAGCAGGAGGGGAAAGGGAAAGAGAGAGGAGAGAAAAGGCGGAAAAAGAAGAAAGGCGGAAAGACGGAGGAGAGAAAAGGGGGAAAAGGAGAATAATGAGAAGGGAAAAGAAAGAAAGGGGTATGAAAGGGATATTATAAGAAGGTGTTTTTTTTTTTTACCGGGTAAGGGGCGGGGGGGGGGGGCATGCAATTTTAAGTCGAACATGACTAATACCAAAGATTTTTATCTCCTTTATAACTTCTAACTTATAACCTATAACTTAGTCTTGAATTAATTTTCCGATATACCTATTCTAAGTGCTCTTTCAGCATGCAGAATTTTTTCCCCGCCATTAATCCTGCCATAGTTGCTGGTTTCATTGTCATATTATTTTCTGTCATCCCTGTGGCCGCGAAGTTTCTATCCGTTTCGCAAGCACTTTTTTTTCATCGCCTACATGTAATGCTTATTGCTTCCAGTTTGCAAAAGATCCCAGTGGCGGATCTGTGGGGGTGGGGGAGGGGTTAGGGGGTTTAACCCCCCCCCCCCCCCCATTGGGCTGCCAAGTGAAAATGTGATGTGAATAGAAAAACGCCATCATGACTGTGTCCAGACCCACATAGTATCCGTATCGTCATCGGGTCATACCCCCCTTAAACTGTTACTAGATTTAAAAAGACGTTATCGTGCACTGCTTTTTATGGTCTCCATTATGTTAGTAGATGCCAGGAAAACATCACTTACGGGGGTTCAAAATAGCAACAACAAAAATTAATCGCCTCGCCGCTACGCGGCTCGGACTTTGAGGCTCGTGAACGATGTTCCGCATCATCGTCATATTGGGTCGAACCCCCATCAAACTGTTACTTGATTTAAAAAGACGTTATCATGAAATGCTGTTTATGGCTTTATTGTGTTAGTAGATGCCAGGAAAATATCACTTACGGGGGTTCAAAATAGCCCCCCAAAAATCGCGGCTCGTGGACGATGCTCCGCATCGTCATTGGGTCGAACCCCCATCAAACTGTTACTTGATTTAAAAAGACGTTATCATATGCACTGCTTTTATGGTCTCCATTGTGTTACTATATAGATGCCAGGAAAACATCACTAATTACGGGGGTTCAAAATAGCACCCCAAAAAATGGCCTCGCCGCTACGCGGCTCGTACGTGAACAATGCTCTGCATCGTCTTTGGGTCGACCCCCCTTAATTAAACTGTTACTTGATTTAAAAAGACGTAATTATCATGCACTGCTTTTTACGGTCTCCATTGTGTCAGTAGATGCCAGGAAAACATCACTTACGGGACTACGTGGCTCGTGGACGACTCCGTGTCGTCATTGGGTCACCACCCCCCCCCCCCCCTTAGCAGAAAGCCAGATCCCATCATCCGCCCCTGGATCTCTACTCTTTGAGGGGGTAGGAAAAAGCAATTTTACGTCATATTACTCCAGGAAGTACATGAAAATGCACCTAATGTGGTTCTAAAATTCCAGACCCATCCCCGTTTGGTCGCTCCGCTCCCTCGCCGCTGACGCCTCGCTCCATCGTTTTTCATATATTTCACCCCATGCAATTTTGTGCTCCCCCGGTAAGAGATTCCTGGATCCGCCACTGACTACAATTAATAACACTAATGATAACAACTATGATAAAAGCGCATAACACATAGGAAGAATTATCACAAGTCTCTATAATTATGCACTTTACAGAACAGAATACAGGAATAGAAATGATGCACTGATGCACTGATCAACGTTAAGAATTGCACGTTTTTTCCCCCAGGGGGACCCCCCCCCCCCCCCCCTGGATCCGCCACTGGAAACAAGTTGGGGTGCAATTCATATGACTAAACTTTAGACCACAAATCTTGTATTGTGGGGCGGAGAAATTATAGACCATAGAGATCTATAGTGTTCTAATACAGATCTCTATGCTAAACACATTTCAACTTTGAAGAAAAAAAAAAAAAAATCTCCTCTCAAACCAAACTCGCTGTCTCATTTCGCTGGCCGTAGAGGGCTTAGGCCGCCCGAAAAATTTCGCGCATTTTCATTGGCTGTTGCGCTTTGCAAAAAGTAGAACTGTTTCGAAATTACGGCGCGACGTAAACACACGAACTCGACACCGAAAGAATCACAAAAGCACATCTCGGCAGAAAACTAATTGTGATATAAATTAGTAAGTGAGTAATTAGTAATACCTGATTTTCTTACGGTGTCTGTTTGAATGGTACAAGTGATACGGATAACGGGATTTAGAAATGTAAGGGGGTCTAATGCCAATGAATGGTGACTGTCTAATCCAGTCAGTGGAGTCCCACACATTAATTGTTGTGTAGGCACGAAGACCCTTGCGCATTGAGCGCTGTAGATCTACATACAGTGAACGTGAGTAGAGACAGAGTAGAGACTTGGAATTGGGTAGCGTTTCTCGAAACCGTCATAACTAGTTAGTTCACCGACATCCCATTGAAACATGTGTAGGCCTATTAAGTTTAACACGCGTTTCAATGGGATGTCGGTGAACTTGTAGTTAGGGTCTATGACGGTTTCGAGAAACGCTGCCAGTAGGGGCGCTGGTCCGAGAATGAGGATCGCCTTCATAAACGAGGATCGTCTTCGTAAACACGGACTGATGCGTCCTCAAAAATAAGGACCGTCTGCATCTTTGGAGACGTTTCATATTTTAGATCTGCACATTGGCGATCCAAAAAACGGATTCTGCAATGATTTTCTTGATGCATTTTAGAGGTCTACATTGACATTGTACAGAGACCTTCACATTATAGGCCCTAAGCAATAAATCCTTGGGAAGACGGACAACCCATAAAAGTAGACGGTGAACTAGGGTTATTTTCCCCCGGGGAATCCATTTTTGGCATCGCCAGCAGGCCGTTCTGTAACATGAAACCCCCAGAGCGCTGATGAAAAAAAACGTCCTCGAAAATGCAGACAACCCTTATTTTTGAGGACGCATTTTGTCCTCGTTTAAGAGGATATCCTTGTTTATGAGGACGATCCTCATTCTCGGACCAGCGCCCCTACTGGCTGCCTTGGGCGCTTGTTCAGAAACCTATCCAAAATTTGACCAGTAACTCCGGCGTGGAGATACCCAACTAAAAGTATGAAAATAATATTCATTAAATGTCCAAATAAAGATCATGAGTTAAAAGTCGTTATGTTTCTTGCCTGTTTCGTGTCGTGTCAATTTTCTTATCTTTTTTTGGAGTAGAATTTCCTAAAAACAAAGACTTTAAACAAATATACACTTTCTCCCAGGATTCACAGCAAACTGCTGCACAATACGATCACGTACCATATCGATGGTGGAGTGCGAGCGCACCTGTGTGTCAAGTTTAGGCCCGTTTCGAGTAAACGTTTAATCGTATACCTGTCCGGCCCGGTTAACGAAAGCCAGTACTGCAGTAGACCCTAGTCAAAATATGAATGTGATAACAATACTTGATGACTCATTGGGAACCCAAGAACATCCCCTAAAAAGAGTCTAAATGGATGTGAAATAGAAATCTTTAAAAACAGGCCTAGTTAAGTTATCGACTGTAACTTAACGTCAAATGAAACATGTGACATGTGTCCAAAACCAAATCATAGACAAACACTACGATTCTGAATCAATTTAGCTATTCCTCTATCCATTGAAATTTTATTATTAATGATTATGTGACTATTTGAATCATAGAGTCTACTACAAATGCCATTTCTTCGAAAATCGGATGGCAAGAAGATGATCTACCGGTATAGTGTGTGATCATTTATGGGCCTAAATGAACCTGACTAATGAAACTTCCTATTCCTAGGATCACCATATTTTGACTTTAAAAATTATTTACAGATTTTAATTGAGTCTCAAGATGCCAAGGAGAAGGAAAACAAGGTTGGCTACTCGAGCCAAGCCATTGCTTCCTGAAGCTACTGATGAACTGGACATGGAGAAAGAAACACGGGAGCAGAAACTAGAAACATATCTCAAAGACTTTGATATCCAAGGTAAAACAGTAATTATTTATTTTTTCAACATAATCTTCTTTTGATATTTGATATTTCTTTATTAATATTTGACTTTATAAGTTTATGCTTGTAACTAATTGCATAAAGATATATAATTTGTGTGGAGCTAGAATGCTCAAAAATGTATTTGAATGTGCAATATCTCTTTATGGAATTAACATGTAGAAGTTTCGTGGTCTAGTGGATACATCGTTGGACTGTGGACCACATGGTTCACGGTTCAAGTCCCACTGCGGGACAAATGTCCTTTGGCAAGATATTAATCCATATTTGCCACTCTCCATCCAGGTAATGATTGGGTATCGGTAGGAAGGAATTCCTTGAAGGCTGTGAGCAACAAAATTGGTAGCTTAGCATAGCCGGGGTAATATTAGAGTGACTTGAGCACCTTGCGTGTTGGACTATAAAAATAACCAATATTATTTATTGTTAGTATTCATTATTATTTAAAGCTCATATTTTGAAATTTTACAACATCATAACTCCTAAACATACAGAACAAGATATATTTTGGTCACTTTGATGATTAGTTCAGTAAGTTCATTTTGGTTCACTTCCATTATCCAAAGTTTAAATTGGTTGTGATAAAAATAAAAATAAATAAGGTTCAGTCAAGTTACTCAATTAAGTAGTGTTATAAGCCAAAGTTAAGTTTTGATGCCACCCCCCCCCCCCCCAAAAAAAAAAAAATAAATAAATAAATAAATAAAAAATTCAGGCTTCAGTTGTGCAATGGAAAACTTGCAAGAAAACTTTGCTTACTTGTTGTAGTTTTCAGCCTTAAAGAGGTGTATTGTACATGTATAATAACTTTTGTTCACTCCTCAAGATCTAAATTACCTGTTGCAGTCATGAGGCAGACACTATATGTTTGTGCACAGTTGATACCATGAACTTTATAATGTTGTAACATTATTATTTTCTTATGTTGCGATGCTTTGTTATTTCAGTTGAGCAACGGATACGTGAAATGAATACCTTATGTACCAGTCTCTGCCGAAGCATCAAGTCAAGTGCTAATCTCTTCTTGATGAAGATGCCGAAGGAAACTAAAAACATGAAAGCAATGGATTTCTTTGGTAAGCATTATTAGGTACCTTATGTTTTATATCCTTTGTCGGTTTGGGAGATTTTGTTGGTGGTTTTCTCATGTTTCTTTTCAAAATATAGAGAATAAAAGACTAATTTTTGTAACATGTGTGTACATTTATGTAAATTTAAAAAAAGTTTCCTTTTTACCTGTCAGATGTTTTACTATCAAATATTTCATGAAGTCCATACCAATCTATAATTTCCTGTATTTTGAGAGAGGAAAAGAAAAAAAAAGATTTCAGTCAGGCTTTGTTCATTCGATTACATTGCTCTCTACCAATAAAAATAATGCCATATATGTGTTATTAACATGTATGCAGTACATTATTTTTAAAGCATTGGCAGAGTCTTTAATTTATACATGAAATAGAGGAAAACTAAAAAGCGTCAAGAAATGTTAGGTCATCCCATATATTTAAAAAAATGTATATTTAAAAAGAATGGAAGTGCTTATTCCTTTCAATCATCTCAAGACAGCGTAACTCCGTTTATTTTTGTCCATGAATTCTTATTGTCTTGTAACATTAAAAATGAATGCCACTTAACATGTTTTTGTTTGTCATTTAATAGGAAATTCTTTAATACAGGAATTATCAACAAATTTGAAGTAAAACAGATTTTAAAAATGTTTGAGTGTTTATTCTTTTGGATCATCAGCTCAAGACAGTGTAACTCCATCGGTGAAGGTCATACAGCAAATCTCTAAGACAGTAGATGAGATGATCACCCTACCCAAGACAGTAACCGATGCCATATCAGAATCAGAATCAGAAGAGACCGCTGCCTCCTCCACTGCTTCGTCCACTGCTGAATCAGACACTGAGAACAGCGAGATGGATGCAATGCCAAAGAAGTCAACACGCTCGACAAGAAAGGTAAGAGAAAAGTATATTTAGGTTTAAAGAGAAGGTTGAGTTCTGGGAAGAGCTGAAAAATAAGTTGTGAGCGTTATCATTGTTATTATGCAAGTGCAGAAGAACATCCAATAATTTTTTTTCCCTGAACAGCATGGCTCTCCAAATGCCTTAACCCTACGTTAACTGGGGGGGGGGGGGGGTCAATTTGACCCCCCCCCCCTGTAGAAATTTCGCGACTTCTCCGAAACCGCGGCAGATATAAAATTTTCCTCTCATGACTTTTTACTTTCGAGTGTTACGCATCTTTTAAAACAATTTTTTTGAAAATCGGACCTACGGTTACAAGGTCACGTGACCTTTTGTCTTTGCATGTCAGCCCGAAAATCACTCATTTTCGTGATTTGTGTACAAAACATATGTAAAAGTCATTTTTCCTAAAAATAGATAAAACATTGGTTATTCAGTCTTGTTTAAAGTTTAGATGTTTGTTTTGGGGTCAAAATAGTTGAATTGTAGTTATAAATGAAATAAAACAACAAAAACAATAAAATACATAAGTTAGAAAAACAATGAAATACATAAGAAATTATAAAAACAAGAGATAACATAAGGAATAACCTTGCTCTTCCAATTTTTTGTGTTGTATTATTATTTCAAATGGTCTAATAAATATATGTGGTGAAAAAGAATACTTAAATATGAATAATCTATGATTTATGGGCCGAAATGTGAATTTTATGACCTTATTTGCATAAATTACCATAAATATGCAAATGAGTGAATTTTTCATAAATTTGAAATTACCATAGTATTCTATACACTTCACTTGACATGCATGCAAAATTTTTAAAAACCTCGTCTGAAATAGCCCAGTTAAAATAGGGTTAAAGGTAATACAAAGTTTTGGAAAATTTTGAAAATTGGGTGGATAGTAATTCTTTACAATTTTTATATATTTGGATGCCCCTGTGGATGTATTATAAGCACTAGAAAATTTAGCCCCTTAACTACTTCTGCTTTCAAGAAAAATTTAATATAAAAATTTACCGGTGCTCCCGGTAAATTTTGATAAATTTCAAATAGCGTCTACGGCCATACAATGGTAGCTACGACCATGAAAATCTCAGAATATGTAGTTGTGATATATAATTTCCGAACGGGAACAACTAATCAGTAGATTTTAGTCAAGAAACATTGTTTTATAGCTTAATTAATATCTTGACCTTGAGAGGGAGCTATACAACATAAAGAGTTTATTATTTACAATTTCATAACTTTAGACTCGATTTCAACTGCGACAACGATCACTGAATATTGTAGGACCGCATATGCGTCCAATATGCCCATTTGAACCAAATTCATGACCCCATACCAAAACTTTGTATTACCTTTAATATTCCAAATATGGCATGTAACAGCATAAAAATTGGGACGTATTTTTATGTCACATGTTTGTGTAGTCCCATATATATATTTCTGTGTACAGTGCTTGAAACTTTACCAAGACTGGGCCAAATTTTTATCATTTTGATGATTCCAGAACCTTGCAATAGACACCAATACTTATATGCTAGATGATCAACCTTTTCTGATCGATTCCACACCGTTTCTTTCACAATGCAATCGCATCCCCAGAACTCAACTATATCTTTAACCTTTAGTCATATAATGCCAGACCATGGCAGCCCCTAACCGAGTGAACCAACCCATGCTTGGCCATTGGAAGTAATGTCATTTGGGGGGTATTGAAAGGGCTTTGTTTTGATGAAGTTGTTCATTCAGTTGCGACCTTCCATTGTCTGTACACTTTTTGGGGTCTGGTGTAATCAAGATTGCTGTAATAATCTCTTGTTTCTTTATTTGTTTGACTGTTTTTTTGTTTTTTTCTAATTCTATCACTTATTTGTTTCTTTTTCCTTTTTTATAGTTTTTTTTTTATAAATATTTTTTAGAATTAAATTTACATTGAACCAGGGAACAAAATGATGCACAAGAATAGTCATACTCATAAGAACATCCCCCGTGAAATGATATAACGTTACTTTTCATTGGAAACTAGGTCTTTGATGGTTATGTAATGAAATAATATTTTCATAATTTATGTACATATTGACTTGTTAATCAGGCTCCTGGAACACGAAAGAAGGCCACAGCAAGTACAGCGAAGAGGACATCAGCAAGGTAGGGGGTTTGATTTTCTTTTGTTTTAAGAACCTTTGGACTGCTGTTGTAGAAGACTTCAAAAGTTGTACCTCTCCTGTTAGTTGATGTCAGAGGCATTGTGCTTTTGAGTAATTGTGATATATCTGAACTATAAATTTAGGTGTGCGCTCAAATTTGGTGCCATTAGAATAATGATTAAGTCTTAAACTGATTGAATTTTCAGTCATGTCAAAGGTCATACCAGTAGGCAACTTTGCGAGTTCGAAGAGGCTTTGAGGCTCTGTTTAAATTAAGTTTATATTTCTTCACATATATCTTTTAACATATACTGATTTTTATGATGTACTAAGATCTAAATAAAGCAATTAAATTAAATTAAATTAACAAAAGGGCACTAGCGCATGGATTTGGTTTCTAACCCAGGACCTACCAGTTAAAAGACCACTGCTCTTCCACTGATCCATCATGGATCATTACTTTTCCCTGTCGTTCATATTCATTTTCATCTCTTTCAAATTTGTTATCTTAATTTTTCCATTGTTTTGATTTTATTACAGGAAAAGGACCAGGGCTGCCTTGCAGGAGACACCCATTAACAGTAATAATACAGGGTAGGAATCCTAGCTCCTCACATCAGTTGAATTACTTATTACTATATAGTAAAGATGTCAATGAAATATTCAAATTTTATCCTTCTCTTTATTTAAGGAGGGGGGGGGGCTAACAATGTAGTTTTCTCTGAATTTGTGTGAGGCCGAGGTTAAAAAAACAATAACCAGTTAAGTTTGTTTGTTTTTGCTTTTTGTTAATGCTTGCAAATTTAGAATGCAAGAGGCTTTGATTTACAAATACCCCCTATATTAATTTGAATCTTGGAAAATGAATAAATTTTGAAGCATATTTATTATTTAAACATGCATGCTCTCCAACATAGGATGTGATTTTGAAGCAATATGCCAGTTACTAGAACGCTTGTTAATTGTAATTGATCTAGTGTTGGTTATAAATCACCCCTTAGCCTCTTGACCTCAACAAACAATGTCATCATTTCTTATTTCTTCTTATTGTAGTTGTAATCTTCAGAGGGCTGTGCAACCTATTCCAATGTTCTATATGTAGATTACCCAAATGTTTTCCCCTGAATCCGAGCCTGCATTGAGAACAGAGGGGAGGGTGCACTTTTGTTTGTACAACACACATTTATTTTTGTTCTTTTTTTCCTATATCTTTATCTGTAGATCTGTGTTGCAGACCCCAGCCAATGCTATGTCTTTTTCATCCATCAACACTCCTTTCATCACACCCAAGTTTGACCCCAGGTGAGTGATCTGACTGTAAGCCACAGAAACACATAAGAGCTAGATCAAGCATCTCCTAGCTAGAATGATGGAAGCAAGAGGAATATATTTTAAAATGCTAACCCTAAATGTGTATATGATCAAAGTTTTGTGTACACATCCTATTTGTCTCTTAGCAATATGGTCAAGTAATGAGATTGTACAATGTCCATTGATATCCTGTAAAAGTAGAATAATTTGCTGCACATTAATTTTCGTGGATTTCGCGCTAAGAAAGGCAAGCATGAATTTTAGAACTCACAAAAATATATGTATGACTTCTTATGCGTGTTTTAAACAGGCTGAATTAAGTACACACAAATTTAAGAACCAGCGAATATGTTTTGAGGTCGCTCAACGCGAAAAATTAATCGCACTATAGAGTTTACAGTACTATAGTAATAAATACAGCTAGCCACCGACCGCTGATCAATTGGTCAATTACCAATTTATCTTTTATTCTCTTTCATCCTTTCCATTGCTCTTTCTCACACCCTGTCTCTGTCACTCTTTCTCTCTTCTTTATACATCTCTGTCCCTTTCTTTGTATCCTCCATTTCCATCTCTCTACCCCCCCCCCCCTCTCCCTCTCTGTCTCTATACTTCTCATCTGTCCCTCTCCACATGCAAATGCATTTGTGTTTTTCTCATCCTCATTTCTCTGCCTTTCTCTATTTGTCTTCTTTTCTTTCTCTCTCTTGCTCTCTCTCTCTCTCTCTCTCTTTCTCTCTCTTTCTCTCTCTTTCTCTCTCTCCATCTATTTCTGCCTGTACTTACCTTTCTCCCACTCTCTCTTGTCTATTTTTGTTTGATTGGTAGCTCCAAGATGACCCCTGCTACAGTCCGTCGAGCCAAGAAGGGAGAGCTCTTAGTGTCCCTCTCTGGGAGCCCTGTCGAGGCCAGGAACTCTCCCAAGGATCCCACTCAGTCAATGGAGAAGCTCAAGGAAAATATCGTAAGTTGGCGGGTAGATTGGTGTGGTATGGTCATGTAGGAATGTCGTGTCCGAGTAGTTTAAAACGCTTGACGGAAGATGCGAAAGTTGAGGGTTCGAACCCAGACACAGCACTTATATCCTGTGGCAAGATATTAACTTGCCCTTGCTCTTCTCCACCAAGGTATTAAATGGGTACCCGGTAGGATGCGACCGTCATTGTTGGTCAAACAGTTTTTGAGCATGAAGTAACGCCTGGCTGGAGTGCTTCCCACGGAGTTGAGATTGTGCACACAGTGGGTGAGGGCAAGAATTAAATCCAATGGCCGGGGTAATATTATATTTGTAAAGATGATGATAACTTTGAAATGTATTTATGTATTCGAAACATATTTATTCATTTAGTGGTTTATGTATTCATTTAGTCATGTATTTGTTCATTTATTTCACATATGAAAGACAGAGTCGTCGCTTGCCCGCACAAAGGCCGCTATCGGCAAATTTGGTCAAATTTTTTGAAAATTATTTTTTGTTTGCATCATGTAGAGAATTAAAAATGCTACAATTTGATATGTCGCTTGTTTCCAGATTCGTCTTTGTTATCAAGATATTCTTCAAAAACAAAGGCCGCTATCTCCGTAATGCACAAAATTTCCCTGCACATTGGCCGCTATTCGCGCTACGGCTTTTGTGCAGTGACAAAGTTCGCGCGTTGAATGCACAAAAGCCGCAATTGTAATATTCTGTCGTCTGCAAGGAAATCCGGGAGCTCACGGAGCTAAATTTTCGTCCGCTAGATGTGTCATTCAAAGTAAGTTATTTGTCTAAATTCCGTATTTAAATCATTAACATAATTGAACAATGACTTAGTTTGAATTGAAATGCACAACAAGAAACATGAAAACGTTATTTTAGGCGCTCCCATCGCTGTTTTCAATCAGTCTAGATGGGTATTCCTTTTGTTTATATCTAATCTGGACAGCCCCACAGGTTGACTTTACTGTCGTGTTATAGACTCTAGTTGGGTTTCGATTACATAATGGCCTATTAACTGTATATCACATGAAGCCAAGTTTGTAAAAAATACATAATATAATACCCTTCACGTTTCGTTAATTTCGAACGGCATCTGTGCCCTGGTTTAGGCACTATGACTATAGATCTAGATCTATTCTAGGCCTAGTAGTAGTAGATCTAGTACTAGACTAGTCTACGACGGCTTCGCTAGGCTTAGGTTGGGCTGAGTGACTTGGGCCAGGGTATTCTTTGTTTTTGAGCTTCTATAAGCCTCTCAGTTTCTTGGCAAAAGGTCTTGATCTAGTATAGTAGCCGGTATTACTAGCTTGAAACTATGAACCTGTACTGTACGTAGTCTGTAGAATTATGACCCCATCTCACTGGTCGTAATATATTCCATTATGGCTATGCTACCTACCTGAACTGTTATGAAGATTTGTCCAGCCTCTGTACTGTTACTTTTTAATTGACTAAGAGACTGAAATAAACCTACTTGTACTTGTCAATTATAGTGATAAAAACATTATGCCTGATATTTGGCCAAGCCTAACACGATGTAATTTTAGATTGCTGTGTCCCTGTAAATTAACACAATAGCCATATTTGCACTGGCTGCTATAGATCTAGATCTAGATCTAACTAGAGCAAAGGTAGTATTATTATTATGTGTAGTGTTACTAAAACTAGCCTAAAACTTTAAAAAAAGCCTAGCCTATAGTGTTGAATAATCTCTGCTCATTATTTGAGGATTTTGGTTTCTTGTATTTGGTGTTTGGATTTATTGAAATGCGCATGCCAATGATCTTCATCAGCAAGGCATACATTTTGTTTGATATATTCACTAATGAATGGGCCTAGATGTAGATCAACACAATTCAATCACGTTGAAGATATGCTCTAGATAAGTCTAGACATTGTGATATTGATACAAAGTCTAAAAGCTGTAGTCTAGGTGCAGACAAGCTGATATTCAAACTTTTAATTCATAAGTATATCAACTCACAGTATGAAACTCAGGCCCTGTTGAATTTCATGAGTAAACCAACAAGATTAATTTACCATATTTGATTTGAGATTTGAGAAAATAATTGTTGGTTTATTCATTGCGCACGTAAGAAAATATAGCAAAGAAAAAACAATTATAAATAGCGTTAATTATTTTCCATTTCTACATGTATGTTCTATAGATATGCTGAATGATACAGAAGACCTGGTTTTGGTCCGTTGGACGAAAACTGGAAAAAAGAATGTGGTGGCTGTTCAGGATTTAGAGGAGATAGATGGAGTGTGGGTTGGGTCAAGATGTACAATGAAGTGGAGACGGCAAAGCTGGAAGGGTACCATTCTGGCTGTTGAAGACCGGAGAGAGGCTGAGCCAGAGAAAGAGAATGACTCCAGCGACAGTGATGATGACAATATGCCTTTAGCTGTCCTTGCTAGTAAGTTACCCATATTTAAATACTGTTCCAACGATTCATTCTTTGTAGGATATTGTAACAACACTTCCTCAATCTGTTTTAATGTAATCTTCTTTGCATTGAAGTGGTTCATGTAATTATAGAATACAATTATCATTTATCTCAAATGTTAGCATGAAAATCATCAACAATGAAATAGAAGACTTTTTTTTGAGGTACACAGTTCTATTTTAATCCCCATTATAGTTACTTATGAGATCATGATACAAGTGCCTGTCAGTGTGCGCATTGAGAGGAAAGTTTAAAATCTTGTTGAAAACTACTTAAAACTTTTTCTTTTGTTTTCATTTGCAGAAAGATCTGTGAACCAATGTTCTACTAAATATGTCGCGCAGCATTGTGGTCATCCATCGTGTTTCGTTGAAGTATGGGCTGCATGTGTCCGTTGCCATACACTTTTGTGTCATGGGCATTGGATGGGGGATGACCCATGTGGCTCACATTCATACTTTGTAAGTATTATTTGATTATATTTCAAGTCACTGAACTAATAAGAAGATATCATATGAATACCGGTAGCATTTACTTTTCTAAAAATAGTTTGATATCTGTCATTACAATGTCCTTAGAGTACCAATATCTCACGTCTTTTTAATACAATAAGTTCTTTTGTACTTCAATGTCATTGATAATTGATTTCCTATTTGTGAATGCATGTGCTGCCCAAGAAGAATTGGAGGTTATCACCATGATTTAGTTCTTGACTGGATTTGCATGAGATGTTTGTATCTGAGGCTTAGAAGATTGCTACAAACTCATTTGATTTTCCTTAGTTAACTCGTCACCAACAATGATTCTTTCAGAGTGTTTACGTATGAACTATTGTATAACTAATATAATGTCAATGCTTTCTAGTAACCATTTCTCTTCTGCATCTTGTATTACTCTTTCATAAACAGAATGAAACGGTACCTATCCCAGAGCAACACAATGACGAGAAGATCATCTATCATTGTATGCAGACCATCAAGGTATATGTCAGCTCTAAGACATGTATGAATTTATTTTTTGGTATACTTAAAAAGAGGATAGAGGGAAACACTGGTGGTGAAACTTAATGATATTTTACTCAAAAGAAGAATTGTTATAATAATGGTCATATGATGATCATTTAAGATAGTTCTATTAGGTAATAACTTGTTCTTTTCTATGTAAAAACTGCTGTAAAAAAAAAAAAAACCCTAGTAAAGGTACAAAATATGATGGGTTAGCAAATTGGATGAAACCATATTCCTGCAACACATTTTCTGTAATACACTAACAGGACTGGGACTGTGCAGGCACTTCACCTCAGCCATACAACGAAGACATGGAGGAAAGAAGGCAGGACACTGACGATGAATGTGCTGACAGTGCAGCGCAGTCAAAAACCCACACAAACCAGGTAAGTCAGTTTAAGGCCTCTAACTTATATATGAATGAAGGCAACCATCTTTGATGATCCAGTACAACCGTAAACTTGTATAAGGCCAATAACCTTATAAAGTTGTCCCTAACTTTATTTAGTTGAACTTGAATACTTTTGAAATCATTTAAGATAGTTCTATTAGGTAATAACTTGTTCTTTTCTATGTAAAAACTGCTGTAAAAAAAACAAACCCTAGTAAAGGTACAAAATATGATGGGTTAGCAAATTGGATGAAACCATATTCCTGCAACACATTTTCTCTAATACACTAACAGGACTGGGACTGTGCAGGCACTTCACCTCAGCCAGACAACGAAGACATGGAGGAAAGAAGGCAGGACACTGACGATGAATGTGCTGACAGTGCAGCGCAGTCAAAAACCCACACAAACCAGGTAAGTCAGTTTAAGGCCTCTAACTTATATATGAATGAAGGCAACCATCTTTGATGATCCAGTACAACCGTAAGCTTCCAATACGAACCAGGTAAGTCAGTATAAGGCCAATAACCTTATAAAGTTGTCCCTAACTTTATTTAGTTGAACTTGAATACTTTTGAAATCATTTAAGATAGTTCTATTAGGTAATAACTTGTTCTTTTCTATGTAAAAACTGCTGTAAAAAAAACAAACCCTAGTAAAGGTACAAAATATGATGGGTTAGCAAATTGGATGAAACCATATTCCTGCAACACATTTTCTCTAATACACTAACAGGACTGGGACTGTGCAGGCACTTCACCTCAGCCAGACAACGAAGACATGGAGGAAAGAAGGCAGGACACTGACGATGAATGTGCTGACAGTGCAGCGCAGTCAAAAACCCACACAAACCAGGTAAGTCAGTTTAAGGCCTCTAACTTATATATGAATGAAGGCAACCATCTTTGATGATCCAGTACAACCGTAAGCTTCCAATACGAACCAGGTAAGTCAGTATAAGGCCAATAACCTTATAAAGTTGTCCCTAACTTTATTTAGTTGAACTTGAATACTTTTGAAATCATTTAAGATAGTTCTATTAGGTAATAACTTGTTCTTTTCTATGTAAAAACTGCTGTAAAAAAAACAAACCCTAGTAAAGGTACAAAATATGATGGGTTAGCAAATTGGATGAAACCATATTCCTGCAACGCATTTTCTCTAATACACTAACAGGACTGGGACTGTGCAGGCACTTCACCTCAGCCAGACAACGAAGACATGGAGGAAAGAAGGCAGGACACTGACGATGAATGTGCAGACAGTGCAGCGGAGATATCCAACGACGACACCAATGAAAACACACAGGCCATTGACGACGACTGTGCAGTTAGTGCAGCACAGTCGAAAACCCACACAAACCAGGTAAGTCAGTTTAAGGCCTCTAACTTTTTAAGTTCCCAGAACTTACATGATAAATGAATAAAGACCAACATCCTAAACCACCCAGAAGCTTCCAAGACAAACCAGGTAAGTCAGTTTAAGGCCAACATCCTTGAGGTTCCCTGACCTTACTGTACATGAAACATGAAGATAAACATCCACAAACCAATAGTAACTTAGCTTCCAAGACAAACCAGGTAAGTCAGTATAAGGCCAATAACCAAATCCGTTTCCAAGTCACCCAAGCCCTATCCACAGCTAAGCCACCACAACCCAACATTAGCAAACCAGAACTTGCCGCTATCAAAGATCTACGCAGCAACCCGTCAATTCACATTCTACATGCAGACAAGGGCAATGCTTCAGTAGTTCTGAACAAAGTGGACTACAACTCCGACTTACAAACAACTAAAGAAAGATCCCACACTAGCAAAGGAAAGGAAACTCAACCAGCGACTCCTCTCTCTTCACAGGACAGAAGTCATATCCAAGCCACTCTACTTCAAACTTTGCTCATCTTCAGCTACCTGCCCCATCCTGTTTGGCCAGACGAAGATACACAAACCTACCATTCCACTTCGTCCCATCATTTCAACCCAAGGATCGCCTTGCTATGACACAGCCAAACACCTGACCTCGATTCTCCAACCACTCGTAGGACAATCGCAGCACCACATCAATAACTCCAAGCATTTCGTCGACATCCTCTCCAAGACCACCATACACGATACAGACATTATGGTCAGTTTCGATGTTGAATCTCTCTTCACCAATGTTCCTGTCACCAAATCCTGCCGAATCATCAAAGAACGCCTCGAAGCTGACGACACCCTCCCCGACAGAACTCCCCTGACAACGGATAAAATACATGACCTCATGTACTTCTGCCTCAATTCAACTTCCTTCAAATGGCGAGACAATTACTACCAGCAACTTCAAGGCGCAGCCATGGTATTGCCTCTAGCTTTCACCGGTTATAGCCAAAATCTTCATGGAGCACTTCGAAACTACGGCACTCCAGACTCTCTCACAATGCCCTTCTCTCTGGCTCCGATATATGTCGACGACACATTGGTCATCTGGCCACATAGCAGACGTTACTTAGACCACTTCCTCGTCCACATCAACCAGCATCACCCGAGCATCAAATTCACCATGGAGACTGAGCAAAACAACAGCATCCCCTTCCTAGACGTCCTCATAACCAAATCGCCATCCGGCAAGCCCGCTCACCAAGTCTACAGGAAACCCACACACAGCGATAGATATCTTCACTACAGATCCTTCCACCATCCATCCGTACAACAATCAGTCCCCAACGCCCTCATCCGCCGAGCCCATCAACTCAGCGATGCCGACCATCTAGACCAGGAAATCCAGCATGTCACCACATCCCTAACTACTATCGACAAATACCCAAGACATAAGATCAAATCCAAGACTCCCGCCAGCAAGCCCGCAGCCATCACCATCCCTGAAGAGAACCAACCTGCAGCTACACCACCGAAACAAACTGTTGTTCTTCCCTATATCGGTCAAGCCTCTCACAAGATTCAGCGTATCCTTCAAGCAGCAGACATCCAAGTTCGACACAGTTACTCCCACAAAGACAAGCATCCAAACCACAAGAAAGCTGGAGTCCACAAAATACCATGCGAATGTGGAAAAGTCTACATTGGTGATACAGGGAGAAATCTGGAAACAAGACTCAAGGAGCACAGAACCAGCTTCAGACTCAGCGATTGGGATAAGTCCGCCATCGTCAAACACGCCCAGCAACACTAACACATCATCGAATGGGATAACAGTCATTTCATCTCCATAATGAAGCACTGGCATACACGCCGAATCCGAGAAGCCATTGAAATTCACTGCCACAACACCGTGCCCCAAGACTCAGGATTAAATCAACGACATCTAGAAACCCCTTATCAACAAGTACCCGGTCACTCCTCCTCCACAACCACCTCCACCACCGCCTTCACCACCCCCACAGACACCCGTACATCAACCACCGCCACCCGCCACCCGCCGAACCATCAAAGCAGCCTCCAGCCTCATGCACAGCTACAATGCACAGCAGACGACAGCAGACTACAATGCCGCCAACGTCGGGGACACACACAGCGTTTCGCCAACAGCATTTTGATTTGATTTGATTCGGTTTATTGAAATAAAAGAACATGCAGCTGGGAAGCTGAAATAATTCAATTTACAAAGTCAATATACAACACAATAAACGAACAAAATATGAATGACTAAAACGTACGACTATAAATTATGCAAAATGAGAATCAAATATTACATCAAAATCTAAATATATTACAAACATTAAATCAAAATCTAAATATATTACGAATATTACATCAAACTCGAGATATATTACAAGTATTACGATAAAATTCAAATATAATACAAATATTAAAAACATTAAAAACCTTAAAAAACCTTCTGTGTCATCAAAAAAAAAAGGGAGAGAGAGAGAGAGAGAAAGAGAAAGAGAAAAACGGAACTAGAAATATATTGTGTGAAGAAAGAAGAAAGAGGGAGAAGGTGATAATAGCTGAGGAAAGGGGTTAAGAAAAGAGAAAGAAAAAAGAAAAAGATGAGGATCTAAGAGAAGAGGAAGGAGAAGGGGTTTCACACAAAGCATGAGTAACATGATAAAGCACGAAATGTAACAACCTAAAAGTACAAGGATAATATTATCAAAAAGATATTGCACGAGGTAAAGTAATATGGGTATATTACATTGAAGAACAATAAAATCAAAGTTATTAGAGGAAAGGTGCAATATGTCAACAACGTATTAAAGAGAATAATTATACAAGTAAAGAATTGAGAATACACAATAAGGCAATACACTTGCATGTAAACGGATAGTGATACACAGTAAAACTATTTGCTTATAAGGGGGAAGAAAGAAGAAAAAAAGAAAGACAAAAAAAAGGAAAAAAGAAAATTGTGATGACCCTACTGACATTTCAAGGAATAGAGAAATCATGCATCTTATAAACGATAGAGAGGAAACAGATACGAATAGAAGAAGAGAGGGGAAGAGGGAAGACAAGAAAAAAGGGAGTATAGAAAAGTGAAAAATAAGATCAAAGAACAGGGAATATCCATGATAAATAAATTTGCAAATTAAAGTGAACTGCATTATAGATAATCATTGAAGATCATTGCATTTTTACGTGTAATCTCAACAAAGTACCACAGCTATAAACAGTGAGAGAGATAAATAGATAAATAAATAGTTGATATAGCTGCATTACAATGACGAATTCAAAACTAATGGCATTCAAGGAAAAGAAAAATCATGCATCTTATAAACAATAGAGAGGAAACAGATACGAATAGAAGAAGAGAGGAGGAGAGGGAAGACAAGAATAAAGGTAGTGAAGATAGTGTAGAATAAGATCAAAGAACAGGGAATATCCATGATAAATAGGTTTGCATATTAAAATGAACTGTATTATAGATGATCATTGAAGATCATTGCATATTACGTGAAATCTCACAAAAGTAACACAGCTATGAACAGTGAGAAAGATAAATAGATAAATAAATAAGTTGATATACTGCATTACAATGAGGAATTCAAAAGGACTGACAGAGAAGGGATAGTTGATAGCCTATATCTCTGCGTTCTACAAAATGGAATGTCAAGACTTTGAGAGTTCCGAAGTTGTAATCGCGTACGGGACTGTGATTGTCTAGTAGGGGGCAAAAAGTTACGATAACGATCAGACTGGAGCAAACCTTCACCAAAACGAAGGAGAAGCTCATTCCTTCTTAGTTCCAAGGAAGTGAGTCCATACAGGATGAGTTGCTTACTATACGAGAGAACATTGGGGAAAGCTATGCAGCGGAGGACACGTTTTTGAACCCGCTCAAGTTCATCAACCTGAGCCTTGGTGAGACTTGATCCCCAGACAGGTGATCCAAACTCCAACAATGGACGAATATAGGACTTGTAGATGATCAATAAATCCTCTACATTAGCACCATTCTTTTTCAAGACGCTTAGGATGTACAATCTACGTGCAGCACGAGAGACCATGGTCTGGACTTGACGATCCCATTTAAGATTCGCTTGTATCACGATTCCAAGAAGAACTTGTGAGTCGACCCATTCTAAGCGACTTCCGTTGATGGTAAACGGTACTTTCGGTGGAGGATTTCTCAAGAAACTAAATCGCATGACTTTGCATTTCTCTGGTTTGGGCTTCATATCATTCACATTGCACCATTCACTCAGCGCATCGATGTGGGTTTGTAGGGAACTTTCTTGTGATTTATGAACAACTTCCAACATACTGAGGTCATCCACATACTTCCACCTATCCTCAGTAGTAAGGGCCGCATCGTTCACCATAACGAGGAAAATGATCGGACCCAATTTGGTCCCTTGGGGGACGCCGCAAGTGAGGTTCAACGATGTTGAGGTTTTACTCTGGTACCTCACTGTTTGAGAGCGATCGCTGAGAAAGCTGCACACAGTTGGTAGGATAGAGGCGTCTACACCTATTCCAATAAGCTTTTCAATTGCAATTCTGTGATTAACTAGATCAAAAGCCTTCATGAAGTCTACTGTGCAAAGGTTTACATGACATCCCTGTTTGTCAAGATTACTTTGGATGACGTCTAACATACTTATCAAATAATGATTAACAGAGCTACCTTTAATATTTCCGAATTGAGAAGGATCTATGTGGGATTTCAAATCTGACATTATCCAGTCCGCCAAAAAACTCTCAAAGACTCTAGCAAAAACAGAAGTGATGGATATCGGGCGGAGTTGAGAAAATTCAGATGCTCGAGGAACCTTCGGGATTGCACATACTGAGGCATTCTTCCATTTTCGGGGAAAGCATCCGGAGCGTAGACAATGGTTGAAGATCTTGGTAAGGGGCGCGGAAAGTTCTAAGGCAAACTCTTTAACTAAACAGACGGGAATATCATGCGGATGAGCGGCCTTCGAAGCATTGAGACGCTTGAGACGAGCATACACTTCATTATCCCGGATCACAGGGGGTGATGATGGCGCCGGAAGGTACGCAGGTAAAGTTGACAAA